TGAACGTAGATAAGTATGTTATGGAGCAACTTGCAATGTGAACAGACTGACTGATGTAGTGGCCAGGCTTAGGCTTGGTTACAAGTACTTCTGGCAGTTTGGGAGACACACAGATGATGATCAAACTAAATGTAAATTATGTGATCAGGCATAATGGTCACTGTCTTGAACACTATGTGCTTAATTGTCCACTTATTGGGGGAATACAGAGACAGACAGTATAATAACCTGTGACATGTCAAGATATCTTATTAATGAAAATAAGATACCAGATATACTAAGCAAATTTCCTAAATTTGCTTGTAACAGATAAGTGAACTATAGATATGTAGATATAAATCCATATGTATTCCTGTTAACCCTTTGGGGCCTAGTTCCTAGGCCTTTTGTGTATCCATATGCTCTCGCGCTACCGTCCACAGGATGGATATGGGGTGCACAATATACTAGCCACTTCGGTGGCAAAATCTAAAAAAATAAAATCTACCCTGCATGCATGAGGTACAGATGGCTTGGGTTATGGGATATGGGGAGATATGTCTCTCAGATAGTACAGTGACCAAAAAGCAACTAAAGTTCTTGAATCTGATGGAAAGAGGACACCAATAACAAAATTCCTTCAGTGAATCTGGTACCTTCCACATAGCAAGTAAAAGACACAATCAGTATGGAGACCTTTGTTATTAAATGGTATTCAGCTTAGTGGGGATATAATAATGACATAAAATACTGAGAGGAATCGACAAGGTGGACAGAGACAGGATGTTCCAGAGATGGGACACAGCAATAAGAGGTCACAACTTTCCTAGTTTCCTGACATTGTCAGAATGAACGAGAGTCAAGAACGCACTGGTCACTACTGTCCATTTGTCTTTTAACGATAAGGCTGCAATGCCCTTGTGGCGCACACATCTCGTCTGTTCCTTGAAGCAATCTGAGCCTTTTCCCTCCTTCGCCCTTCAGGTCATCGTCCTCACAAAGGAATATGCGTTGTATACCTTCACTGCTAGGCTATGCAACCAGAATTAACACAAGAGAGTAGGTTTCTTGTTATTTAGCTGTAGACTAGAAGTCATAATGTCCCTGACTTGTAGACAAGGTGGGGCGCAGGTTTCCTCTTAATTTTCCTGCTATGGGGAAAAGAGTAATTACTTTCGTTTAACCCTCATTGTGTAGTTGATCAGAAATTCTAGCAAGGAGAAACATGGTACATACATATGTCTCTCATTAAAGCTGTGCAAGGAAGGAAGAGTCCACTTGCCCCTTCCGGGAGGGCTAAGTCCCTTGGAGACCTGAAGGGGCTGAGTGGACTGAGAGATACCCTCTTTGCTGGAGAATTTTATCCACACCGCACAAATCTCATTTTCGAGAACATATGCTGCAGGATAGCCAGTTTCAGTGGTTCTGTTAGTGTGATCCACAAGAGTATTGCAGAGGCAAACTCACCTGGTGAACAAGAAGAGGTGAGGTTAACATCGTCATATCTAAAACTTAATAACCTTTACCGGGCAGGACCGAGTTTATATATTTTTAATTGTGTAATAATTTCCTTAAGTAAATTTACTTACGATTATTACAATCTAGAGTGAAAATACTGATAAAATAAGACTTTGTCAGGCCCTCCCACTATCAAGGTTAAGAGAGCCATCAGCATAGATAGTCTGTGTGACTGAATTCCCTGATCTAAGGTCGTGTATGTATTCCAGAGCATTGATCTTAGAAAGTAATCGAAGTTGAGGATTATGCATGATTAGTTTTTTGGAAGGATAGGTGGACATAGTGATATCAAAAGCTGTTTTCTGCCAGGGTGACCTGAAATGCTGCTGTTTCCTTTATGCTTTATACAGTAATTTTGAAATAAAGATTTGTGTTTGCATTTATATTTAGATACGTCCAAGCAATTCCTACAATAAATGGCAAGTCACTTCATTGGTAATCCTAAAATATCTGAAATCTTGAGATCATATTCCTGTTTTCCACCGGCTTGATAAATGAGCTGTTATTTGCTGAAACTGTAACTCAGTAATGACCAGTGGTTTTAGTGGTATGAAGATAGTAAGTAAATCACTTGGTCTGACTTTTTGGGGTTATCCTAGGTAATTTACACATGCTACTATGCATAATAATTGTACCTATGTGGACCCCAGTGGAAATACAAGGACTCCAATGGAAATTTAATCGACTCAATTTTAGTTAGTTTTATTATTCCACTCTGCGGATAATTCTTTAACAGTTTTGTTGGAGAGCCGGTTACTGTACTCAGGTCAGGGTGTGAGAGTACCACTTGCTCTATTTGGAAACTTCTACCTCTCAAAGAAGGTTCCTTGATGCTGGTGAGGGGCTCTTGATCTAGGGAAATGGATTTGTGCTCCAGTTCCCTGAATTAAGCCTGAATACCTTTCACGTCCCCCCAAAGGCGCTGTATAATCCTATGGGTTTAGCGCTTCCCCCTTGATTATTACAATATAATTATTATGGAAACTTCTAGTTTCTGTTTCTATTTACAAAGGGACTCCTGCCTTATTTCCTCTTCTTTTATGGTCCATCTTAGGACAATATGTCTTCTCTGTACACCAGGAAGCAGAGCTCAAAACACTGTAAATTATCAGTGGTTCTTACAAACTGGGCCCCAAAGCTATCAAAACTTTGGGGTCCAGTCCCTGGACCTATTATGTACCTCTGTAATGTTTTAACTACCGCCCACAGGATGGGTATGAGGTGCATAATAAACATATTAAACTAACTCTTACAAATCCAACCATAAGACGCATGTACAGTTTTTTTGTTGCCCTTATAAACCACAACAACAACAGGTTTTTTTTTTAGCGTTATTAAGCAAGTAAGATAAAGATTCATTTCTTTGTAAAGGTTACAATATGTTAATTATAATTTTGGTTTGCTAAGTACAAAAAAAAGCCACTATCATGCCGGGGACATTTCGGGCAGAACATTATTCAGGTACAAGTACACATAAATACAGTTAAATAAATTATCATACATAGGAAATGTGTAGATTACCCAGGATAACCAAAAAAGACAAAATGACTTATTTCCATTGTGTTCCTTGTTAATGAGACAACAAGAAAAGGGCAGCAATAGTCTCATGGTGCAAAACATTTATCATTTCATTTCACACTGCGCTGTATAGCCCTTGTGGTTTAGCGCTTCTTTTTTATTATAATTATAATAACTCACACTCGTGACAGTTCCTCCCTGGATGATGATTAGCAGAAAATAGAAATAAAAACTTTATTCTAGAGTATGACAAATGGATGACTTGGTTAAACTGATATTAAAGATGAAGTTGAACTTAATCTTGGTATCAGAGATTTATATAAAAAATAAAATTTGGAAAATCTTGGGAAAAAATTTGCTAGCAAGTCTGAAGATAGAAAAGTAGACATAGACAGTTAAACTGTGCATAATAATTGTACTTATGTGTACCTGTACATAAATATACATACTGAAACTTATACTGCATATTTATTGTAAGTGATTAGCTAATATCTCTCACCCTGTTAGAACAAGAGAATTTTTTAATTTTTTTTTAATTTTATGAATTGTATCTATCATGTATTAACCCCTTAAATATAAAAAAATAAATATACGTATACAGTGGACCCCCGCATAACGATCACCTCCGAATGCGACCAATTATGTAAGTGTATTTATGTAAGTGCGTTTGCACGTGTATGTTTGGGGGTCTGAAATGGACTAATTTACTTCACAATATTCCTTATGGGAACAAATTCGGTCAGTACTGGCACCTGAACATACTTCTGGAGTGAAAAAATATCGTTAACTGGGGGTCCACTGTATAGTATAGTCTAAGTTTTGGCCAAAATGCTAAGTATCCTTTGGGTCTTCATATTGCTGTATGCTTTATACAGTAATTTTGAAATAAAGATTTGTATTTGCATTTATATTTAGAGATACATCCAAGCAAATCCTACAATAAATGATAAGTCACTTCATTGTTAATGATAAGATATCTGAAATCTTGTGATTGTATCTTTATTTTGCACTGGCTTAATAATTGAGCTAATATTGGATGACACTGTAACTAAATAATGGCCAGTGGTTTCAGTGGTAAGATAGTAAGTTTATTTAGATACAGGTACACATAAGTACACATCATACATAGTTCAATCTATGTGTAAATTTCCTAGAATAACCCAGAAGAGTCAGACAAATTGACTTGTTTCCATTGGGGTCCTTGATATACTTAAATTTTCTTGCACATTAACTACATATTGGATTGTGTAGATTTGCTATATGAGGAAATTTTAATACATGAAATGACTAATTTTTGTAAAAATGTAACTGTGTAGATGAATATTTGTGATTCGAAAAATTTAAAACTTTTGTTTTAATTACAAGGTTCTTATATCTGTATGCTGTGATATGTTTATATTAATTTTAATGTTATTAGCACTATTATTATTAGCTTGGCAGTTTTCCTATTAGGTTAAATACCCCTTGTCTCTACTTCTATCTAACACACTCACAGATGCTTGCTGGATGTTTAAACCTCTATACCTAAAACCTTCTTTGCCCTCTCCCTCCCTCTGGATGAGCCTTACCCCTCCTTCCTTCCACCTCTGATATATGTACCCACTTTGTTATCCTATTATCCATCCTTTCTAAATAGTCAGAGCACCTCAACAACCCAACTCTTCTGATTTCTGCACTTTTAATTCTTTGTACAGTAGTATAATATATACACCACATGTTGCTATTTTAGATTATATTGTGTGTGCTTATATTTTTTGGATATCTTTAATATATAAAATAATTTTTCTATAATTTTATTATGGTTTTGTAAGTAACACATTCTTTTTTTATTTAGGTGAAGCATGATGAGTTCATTGCTACTCCCATTTACCAAGCCTTGTGTACTTCGGTAAGTAGACAGTGCTTTTGTCAGCTAATACTTCTATATTTCTTCATAAACTTATAATAATCAATCTGTAATAAGTTCACTTCATTATAATAGTAATATATCATCAGTAATAGTTTAAAAAGAGCATCGATATCTTATTAACGCATTTCACGGCTTATGAAATGTGGCTTCTAAGACTTGTTTTAGTTTCGTTGGCTTTTCATCGGACATAACTGGGAGAGCTACAGCCCACCCCATACGCCAGACTTATAGCTCCCGTCACTGACCTTCAGTTTATAGGACGCAGGGTGGTTTTTGGAGATATTTTATGAAAAAAAAAACACATCTAATAATCGTGAAATACAGTAATATGCTTGTTTTCACATATTGTCTAATTTAATAAAAGTATGTACAGTAGTGTATACTGTATGGAATAATCATACTAGCACTGTATAAGCATATTTTATGAATGATTTGAGAAAATTTTATCCAAAGAATACATTTTTTTAAGTCATATGAATGGGCATATATGTATTGTATATACAGTGGAACCCCAAATATTGGCCTTAATTCGTGCCAGAAGGCTGTTCGAACGCCATTACTAAACGAATTTGTTCCCATAAGGAATAATGTAAATTAGATTAGTCCATTTCAAACCCCAAAAATACACTTACGAGAGCACTTACAAAAATACTGTACTTTTACATAATTGTTTGAGTTGGGAGCTGTTCGAAATTCGGGATGCCACTGTATGTACTTTGAAATCCCAAAATTTGTGAGCATAATGTTCATGGAGGGTTTCAGGAATTCACAGTTCACAAATACCATTAAATGCTCACTGTACATTCAGTTTTATTTCAGATTTGGTGTCATTGTTGGTTTCATTATTTATTGCTTTAACCTCATTGATTTTTTTTTTTTTTTTTTTTTTTTTTTCAACAAGTCGGCCGTCTCCCACCGAGGCAGGGTGACCCAAAAAAGAAAGAAAATCCCCAAAAAGAAAATACTTTCATCATCATTCAACACTTTCACCACACTCGCACATTATCACTGTTTTTGCAGAGGTGCTCAGAATACAACAGTCTAGAAGCATAAACATATAAAGATACACAACATATCCCTCCAAACTGCCAATATCATTGATATTAATATTATTAAGAAAGAATAATTAGGAAGAAAAAAGATTTGGGCATAGGAAAATCCAGTGAGCACATTTTGGTGAAATCATTTTGATATACTTTATAGAAAAAAGTATATTAATCAACTAGTCCTTAGTAGGAAGACTTTTCAAGAAATTCCTAGCAATGTTCAGGCAGTTCTAGCATTGCAGATGTTCTAGAAGTGATGATCATTGCCAGACAACAAATTTGAGGTGAATTCAGCTTCACCAGCCCAGATATGTTTAGGAACACTCAAAGAAACCCCTCTTTTTTGTTTACTAACATTTTTGAGATTGGTGAGAGGCATTTCAAACAATCAATGTATCCATCCTTATAAAAACTGTTTTTCCCATGTTGTGCAACTTTGTGGATGCTCTAGATTTGTTCCACGACCAAAGCAGTTGTACTAGGCGTGATTACGTCATCATCACTTATTTTCACATGTAAAAAAATCCTCTATATGTTTTCTTAACCTTACTGATTATATATGATGAATGTACATCACATATAGAGAATTACTGTTAGATGTGAGACTCACGTCAAAGAGGTGTCTCTTTCTGATGTGGTGCCCATTTGTTCTGTTTCAATTATGGGTCATTCTTATTGGGGTTCTTCCTTTGAATATGACCCACATTAGTTAACTATCTTCCAGGTGCCTAGTTACTGCTAGGCAGACATGAGCAACAGGTGTAAGACTTGCTCGTACTTCTTGTGTCTCCCAAAAATCAAACTCAGATTGCTTTAGAAACGGAGCTCAGGAGTTGCACATCATATTCCAGGAAAACACACATTTGAGAGTTAAAGCCATTGCAATTTTTAAGATCACATGATAAATTACCTTAATTACTAAAGATTGGACATGGCAAGCATTGCTTCACTACAAATAGGTATATAGGTACTTACACACAAAGATGTTTATCAAAATTACCCTATAAGCAGTTAGTTATTTTCTATTTTTCTTTGAACAGAGTTGGACCCCAGGGCATGAGAATAGCAACTATGCAAGGGCACTGGAGAAATTTGACATCAGGGATGCTCAGGCAGTTACATGTGCCCCCACAAGATGTTACTTCTACAAAAACAATAAAAGATGGTAATGTAGTGCCATAAATGTTTTCCAGCTTTATACAGGCAGGCCCCACTTTACAGTGCTTCACTTTGCAGCATTTCACCGATACAGCCTTTTCAATTATACCCATTCTTCATTTATTCAGACTTCCTACAATAAATATATTCACCACTCACTATAAGCTAAGGATGAAAATATTTTAAGGTAAGTAATGTGTGTGTACTGTACATGCATTTTATAGGCCTAGCTATATTGCTTACTTAATATGTGATAGTATAAACATATTATCAGGCTTTTTATATGCATTTGAAAGTAAAAAAAAAGACTGATTCACTTTACAGCAATTTTCGCTTTACAGCTGTATCCCGGAACCTAACCTGCTGTATAACCAGTGCCCTCTTGGACTCATTATCACCTCTATCAAAACATTATATACATGTTTTAATAGAGGTGTTTGATTTTATAGTCATTATCTCAACATTGATCTTGATAATTTGCTTAAAATTGGGCATTTTGTCTTGGAATTATGTAATGCACTTATGTTTTTTATGGAGAATTTTATGCCAGAGAGTGAGAATAGCATATATTAAAGGTGTTATGGGTGCACATTTGTTAAACATGCAATTGCAAATATTTAAAATAAATTATAATTAATTTATAATTAACCTCTTTTGTTGGATATATTTACTTAGCAGGAATTTTTACATTTGCAGACATCATATGTTCAGTAATGCTCTATTTATGCACTATTGATCTTATGTGATGCCCCATTTCTACTGGTAATTCTGTATGCAGTGATATTCATTTACCATATACAGTCAGTGTGGTATGCAAAGCATATAAAACATTCTTATTGTGCCAAATTAATTGTTTGATTTAGTACAGCTGTCAAGGTCCTGGAATGCATTTAAAGGAAATACATTCACTGTCACTCAATCACTTCCTTGACAAAAGTGTGCTGACATCACAGCTTAAATGGCCCTCTTATCCACAATATTCTCACCCCTCCTTTAGAGTGCAAGCACTATACATCTCGCCTCTAGAACTCAAGTCAAACCAACTGGCTTCCTCTCAATCCCTTCATAAATATTACCTTCCTCACACTCCAACAGCATGTCAAGTCACAAAACCCACTTGCTTCCACTCAATCCAATCTAATGCCATCACACAATGCTTTTGGATATTTAAGATATTAGCTTTTAAAGCCTCCTTTATCCCCTCCCTCCAACCCTTCCAGAGATAACCCCTCCCCTTCCTTTCCTCCACTCCAGATTTATATAACCTTCCTGTTCATAGTATTTGTTATTGTTTGGGTTAAATAACCTGCATCACTTTTTAATTTTTTTTATTTTTCAGTAATAGCAGACCTAGCGAACAAGGTTGGAGCAACAAAAAGTTTTAGCCAGGTTGAGGATCGCAGCTTTCTGTTAGAGCTTCTTCCAGCCTCCCAGGATGAGCTGCCCTTACGCACTATGACAGTAAAATTTTAAATCTTGGTATCTAATTTGTTAGTTGCTTCAGTACTAGAAGTGCTTCTTTTGCATGTATTATAAAAGTGTGTTCATAATATCTGAACCACCCAAATTCATTGTGCTTAGATTCTTATTCATCCTAATAAATTCAGATTATTTTCAGATTTAGGCTAATTTTCTGTTTCAGAAGCCATGTCTCTTTAAATATTTTTACTTTATCCTCATTAATATTAAAAATTATAAGGGATGTACAGAGGTCATCAGGCAAGCCAAAACAAAATAGACACTTTGAAAAACTTAATAACAGAAGCAATTTTCAGTAATAACACTGGATAATAAAAGCACAAGAATTTTTGGGTCTAATACTACTGTACTTTTTTCAGTTTCTCTTTTTCTCCTTTCAGTTTCTCTTTTTTTCCTTTCAGTTTCTCTTTTTCTCTTTTAAGTTTCTCTTTTTCTCTTTTCAGTTTCTCTTTTTTCTCTTTTCAGTTTCTCTTTTTCTCTTTTCAGTTTCTCTTTTTCTCTCTTCTGTTTCTCTTTTTCTCTTTTCTGTTTCTCTCTCTCTCTCTCTCTCGCTCGCTCGCTCGCTTGCTCTCCCTCTCGCTCGCTCGCTTTCCCTCTCTCCCTCTCGCTCGCTCTCCCTCTCTCCCTCTCGCTCGCTCGCTCTCCCTCTCTCTCACTCTCTCGCTCCCTTTCCCTCTCCCCCTCCCTCCCTTCCCTCCCTCCCCTCCCTAACCACTCCCTTCCCTCCCTAACCCCTCCCTTCCCTCCCTAACCCCTCCTCCCTCCCCCTCCCCACCCCCATCCACCACTCTACACTCCTCTTGCCTGATTGTATGAGAACTTACTATAACCTACCTCTAATCAAAATTAGAACCAGATATTTAAAAATGTTAATATAAGATGTAACTACAGTGGACCCCGCATAACGATCACCTCCGAATGCGAACAATTATGTAAGTGTATTTATGTAAGTGCGTTTGTACGTGTATGTTTGGGGCTCTGAAATGGACTAACTTACTTCACAATACAGTGGACCCCTGGTTAACGATATTTTTTCACTCCAGAAGTATGTTCAGGTGCCAGTACTGACCGAATTTGTTCCCATAAGAAATATTGTGAAGTAGATTAGTCCATTTCAGACCCCCAAACATACACGTACAAATGCACTTACATAAATACACTTACATAATTGGTCGCATTCGGAGGTAATCGTTATGCGGGGGTCCACTGTATACCTTATGGGAACAAATTCGGTCAGTACTGGCACCTGAACATACTTCTGAAGTGAAAAAATATCGTTAACCGGGGGTCCACTGTACTGTGTTTGAGAGCTATATAAACATTGAGTGATTGAGGATATATTTTTCAGTAGAAGAAAAAATGATTGAACATGAAGTTGAGAATTAATTTTTTTTTATTTTATATTTACAGGATAGCTGGGATAGTGCCCTTATTCCTTTGGGATCAAATGAAAGACTTCGAGAGAAGTATGTAACCTTCATGGGAGGAGTGAGAATTGGACGACTCTTAGAAGACCTTGATGTTTTTGCAGGTATGGTGATGCCCTGATTCAATGCCTAAGTGGAATTTGCTCACATTCTTGTACTTTCAGTCAGCAAATTTATTACTGCAGCTTGAAGGTAATTGAAGGAACAGTTTTACCAGGTTATTATAGCTCAGTGTATTTTTTATATCAGTAGACCATCAATTAATATGTGATCTAGTGACTACTTTTCGTGATAACACTTTTGGAAAACTGAGGCCTGTTCTTGATGAGCACTAGGTATTGCAGCATGCAGTACTTAGTAATGGATAATTTCACTGTAAATGCTTGTTCTTTTGACTAAAAATCATTTTCTCACCCCTAAGTGTATCTGTATAAATGCTGAATATGCTGGTGCCTGATGAAAGAGAGAAAAGTACTGTAATTTAAATAAGAAAGTGAAAGGATTGTTTTTGCAGCACTGCCATAAATTCTTCTTTTGAGTCTGTGGGGCCATTACACTATACACTGTTCATATATATAAATTGTTTATCACCATGTTAGTAATAAAATAATTAACATATGATGAAATTAGTTGTTTCCTGCATACCAGTCAATACATGCAGTGTTTTTATATTCTTTGCATCATCAGGGCTAAAATGTGAGGATACTGGAGATAATGTTTTTATACAAATTTATTGAAAATGTGTGGGAAATGATACTGTATTTTATTTTTTTATTTAAAATAAAATTATTAGCTCTCCCTGGGGAAGTAGAAAAGAATTCTTCCTCTGTAAGCCACACGTGTTGCAAGAGGTAATTAAAATGCTGGGAGCAAAAGGCTAGTAACCCCTTTTGTATAAATTACTAAATTTAAAAAGAAAAACGAAAGTTTTTCTTTTTAAGTTACCCTACCTCGGTGGGATACAGCCAGTTTGTTGAAAAACAAATATGTTATTAACATGTATTAAATAGTTTATATTAACAACAGTGCATAGTGATAATCTGAGAAGATTGTTCTCATTATTTTGATAATTTTTTCATATTTTTGGAGATAGTTTGCATTCAGAAGGGAGGTACTACCATCCTACCAAGTGAGTGTAAAATATAGAAGCCTGTAACTGTTTTACATGATGGTAGGAATGCTGATATCTTTATTTCTGTCTCATAAACATGCAAGATTTCAGGTATATCTTGCTACTTCTACTTACACCTAGGTCACACTACACATGCATGTACAAGCATACATATATACACACACACACACACCAGGAAGTATGTGAGGAGCTCAACACGAGATTTAAGGAGACAGAAAGGACTCTGGGAAGACAGAACAGAGGGGTACACCAACAAGGGATATACCAACAAGTGTTGGATGAAATACACACAACCGAGGAGGAGGTGAAGAAGCCGCTAAGTGACCTAGATACCTCAAAGGCGGTGGAACCAGACAACATCTCTCCTTGGGTCCTTAGAATGGGAGCAGAGATGCTGTGTGTGCCACTAGCCACAATTTTCAACACATCCCATGAAACTGGGCAACTACCTGAGGTATGGAAGACAGCAAATGTAGTCCCCATTTTTAAGAAAGGAGACAGAAATGAGGCACTAAACTATAGACCAGTGTCACTGACGTGTATAGTATGGAAAGTCATGGAGAAGATTATCAGGAGGAGAGTGGTGGAGCACCTGGAGAGGTACAAGATTATAAACGACAACCAACACGGATTCATGAAAGGCAAATCCTGTGTCACAAACCTACAGGAGTTTTATGACAAGGTAACAGAAGTAAGACACGAGAGAGTGGGGTGGGTTGATTGCATTTTCTTGGACTACAAGAAGGCCTTCGACACAGTTCCTCACAAGAGATTAGTGCAGAGGCTGGAAGATCAGACACGTATAACAGGAAGGGCACTGCAATGGATCAGAGAATACCCGACAGGGAAGCAACAACGAGTCATGGTACGTGATAGGGTATCACAGTGGGCACCTGTGATGAGTGGGGTCCCACAGGGGTCGGTCCTAGGACCAGTGCTATTTTTGGTGTATGTGAATGACATGATGGAAGGGATAGACTCAGAAGTGTCCCTGTTCACAGATGATGAGGATCAGGAAGGACTACAAAGTGACCTAGACAGGCTGGACACATGGTCCAACAACTGTCTCCTTGAATTTAACCCTGCCAAATGCCTGATCATGAAGATCAGGGAAGGACAAAGAAGACCGCAGACAGATTATAGGCTAGGCAGCCAAAGACTGCAAACCTCACTCAAGGAGAAAGATCTTGGGGTGAGTATAACACCGAGCACGTCAATGGAAGCACACACCAACCAGATAACGGCTGAAGCATATGGGCGCCTGGCAAACCTGAGAGTAGCGTTTCGATACCTTAGTAAGGAATCATTCTAGACTCTGTACACTGTACATCAGGCCCATACTGGAGTATGCAGCACCAGTTTGGAATCCACACCTGGTCAGGCTTGCAACAAGGCTAGTTCCAGAGCTAAGGGGAATGTCCAATAATATTTTCACTGTAATAAAGTTGGTAGAATTACCGACAATATGTAAAGTAAAAGGACACAAGTGCAACTAATGTGACATTTATTGTGGCAACGTTTCGCTCTCCAGGAGCTTTATCAAGCCATTACAAACAATACATGGACACAGAGGGTATATAAAGGCTCAGAGTGAGGTGAATACTAGTGAGGTACCATTTCGATGTTCACTAGTGGTAGTAGTAGTAGTAGTAGTAGTAGTGGTAGTGACAAAAGTAATACAATATGGTAGAGCAATTAATTCGTACATGAGTAAAAGGATATAAAAGCTATTACTTGGGTAACATAAAAATAGGTTGGACAAATATAAACTGGAATGAGGCAGCTTGTTTCAGTGTTCACTCTCTGTGCTTTGTGTAGTATAACAGGAGAGACTATGTGATGGCAGGGTTTACTGTTTTCAGGAGGATTCTTGCTAAGACTTCGGAGATGGTGAAGCTGCCGTTGTTTTGTTTAATTGTATTCGAAACAGCGATCAGTGCTGATTCAAGGCACTTGCGTGTGCGGAAATTATTTTCTTTTATCACTAATTGGGCGTCTCTGAAATTCATAAGATGATTGGTGGAATTTCGGTGTTGTACACAGGCGTTGTTTAAGTTGTCGTTCCTTCGACACCCGCCTCAATGAACACATATACGCATGCAGGAACGACAACTTAAACAACGCCTGTGTACAACACCGAAATTCCACCAATCATCTTATGAAATTCAGAGACGCCCAATTAGTGATAAAAGAAAATAATTTCCGCACACGCAAGTGCCTTGAATCAGCACTGATCGCTGTTTCGAATACAATTAAACAAAACAACGGCAGCTTCACCATCTCCGAAGTCTTAGCAAGAATCCTCCTGAAAACAGTAAACCCTGCCATCACATAGTCTCTCCTGTTATACTACACAAAGCACAGAGAGTGAACACTGAAACAAGCTGCCTCATTCCAGTTTATATTTGTCCAACCTATTTTTATGTTACCCAAGTAATAGCTTTTATATCCTTTTACTCATGTACGAATTAATTGCTCTACCATATTGTATTACTTTTGTCACTACCACTACTACTACTACTACTACTACTACCACTAGTGAACATCGAAATGGTACCTCACTAGTATTCACCTCACTCTGAGCCTTTATATACCCTCTGTGTCCATGTATTGTTTGTAATGGCTTGATAAAGCTCCTGGAGAGCGAAACATTGCCACAATAAATGTCACATTAGTTGCACTTGTGTCCTTTTACTTTAAATATTTTCACTGATATTTGCAGATAATTATGGTTGTGGTGGTGTTAGGTGATAGTTGTAGGTCACATTTTCAGAACTTCATGTCATATGTTTACACAGTGTACAGGGTACATCAGCCTTGTCCTCGCATTTCTAAAGTAACAAGCAACAACACTATCTTGTAAGGAATGGAAACTGTATTAATTTTTAATTTTGACCAATTACTAAGCTTAAATAAAGTTGTTTAGCATTTTTGGGGCATCCATGAACAAAAACCTAATTTTCCACGTGCGCTCTTCAGTTCATTTTACACTTTTTTTATTTAGTTATTTCAGTGTTTGATAGTTCAGCTTAGTTTGTTCCCATTCAGTTTCTAACTTCACTGGCCCTTTCTCACATTCATTCATCTCATTCCTTTCTATTACCTGTTTCTTGTGAGTGTTCATGACTTGACCTGGCCTTTTCACTTTCTCTCCTTTCCTTTTGACCTGTCTTCTGTATTTTCATTGCCATCTATGTCTTCTAACTCTCCCATGTCCTGTTTCCTTATATTTCCTCATATTTTCTGCCTTCTTGGGGACAGCTGTTAGTAAATATTTTACTTTTGTTTTTACCTTTCCACATAAGATATAGGAGATGAAATATGATATAGATTACTACATGTTTCATTTACTTGCGGATACTACCATAGTCTGTCTTCCTCTCATTTTTCCAGTCATTTCTTTTCATTGTTAAAAGGCATACTATTTTTTCCATTATTGATTTTACAGGCTAAAAGCTGTTATCCTACCTCAACTCATTTTAGTGCCCAGTCTTTAATAGTCAGCAAGGTATAGTACCATACCCCATAATGCAACCTGCAACAGCCAGATAATATCTGTGTACCTATTTACTGCTAGGTAAACAAGGGCAAGAAGAATTGTGCTTAATCCTTTGAGTGTTGAGACCCCTTCTCGCAAACTTGTTGAAGAATTTAAAAAAAAAAATATATGTATGTACATATTTTCATATGAAATGATAGAGAATCTTTTTCCAAAGGTAGTGAAACCAAAAGTTCGAAATGTGAAGGAAAATTTATGGAATTATGCTCTTGCTAAGTTAGCCGTCTCAGTGATATTTACGCATTGGTAATTTTGCCCACTCTGAGACCTATTTTGGGCCAATTCCTTTGTTCCACTCGACCAAACTCATAACTATTTCACTAGAACTTCTTTTATTCTATTGATTGAGTACAAGAAACTGCCCATTTACCTATTTCAACTACACAAAAAAAAGTGATCAGAAATTACTAATTTTGCCAATTTCACATAAAATTCAAGAAAGGCCAATTTCAAAATAGGGGCCAGAATAAACAATGCAGACATTCCTGGCACTAAAGTAGCGTTTTCTCTGTTTATTAGTCGCGTCTTCAGGCCTCTCTTGTATTATGCTTGCTTTTTGTTTTGAAATTTTTATTCACACAGAAAAATAGATGATTTACTGTTATTCAGACTACTGCATAATTGTAAGAATTGTATAAATAATACCATCACATTTATGAATGTATATTAGACCCACCAGTTGATGTGTATTGGACGCATGACGTGATTTGCTTACTGTTGAATATCATCTAACATTTCTGCTACCTTGAGCTCAGTCTCAAGCTACTTTTAGCCTGTAAACCATTCAAAATCACCTCTATTTCTGTAATATATCTTCACTTCTATCAAATGAGAACAAGAAAACGAAAATACAACCATAAATACCATACACAAATACACTACAAAGTCACTGTTTTAAACCAAAAACACTTGCAGTTTTTTTTTCACACAGTGCTTCCTGCAGGATTTTTTTTATACTGTTGATACTGACCACACAGATCCATTCTCTCATATGTAGGCCTACCAGCTTTCTCTCGCAAGATTTGAAGCTGCTAGAATTTTGGTGTTGTATCACGGGACTGACACTGGCTTTAAAGCTGTAATTTTATGGCACAGACACCGAAGGAGTTGATTTGGCTAGGAAAAGAAAATATTATTCGTTTCCTTACTGTTCTTGAATGATTATGTTATTTGATTATTTGCCTTACTGATATTCTTTATTGAATCTTCTTATAATCATTAATTATAATCCTTAATATCATTAATTTTAATCAATATAATTTATTGAATATCCTTATAATCATAAGCTCTTGTGATCTATGCCCCCTCAAGGAAGGTTCCTTGATGTTGGTGAGGGGCTCTTGATTTAGGGAATTGGATCTGTGCTCCAGTTCCCCGAATTAAGCCTGAATGCCTTCCACATCCCCCCCCCCAGGCGCTGTATAATCCTCCGGGTTTAGCGCTTCCCCTTGATTATAATAATAATAATTGTGATCTATGCTTGGCTCTTTGTCTTTGTTATTAGTTGTTATAATCTATTCCAGGTATGTACTTAATAATTGCTACTTGTTCTTTTAATCTGTTACTGGTACTTCTTGTAATCCATTCCTTATTCTGTATCTTTATTATTTGTCATATATTCTGTTTCTGGCTTTTTGCATCATCATTAGTTCTTGAAATCTTTTCCAGGGTTTTTATCCATGTTATTAGTTTTTGTACTCTTTTCCTGGTACTTTATATTTGTTATTTTTTCTTGTAATCTACTCCTGGAGCATTTACCATCATTAGCTATTGTAATTTATACCTGATTCTTTGCCTATGTGACTGGTTCTTATAATCTATTCCTGGATCTTACCACTGGTATTAGTTCTTAAAGTAATCCCATATTCTTGTAATTAACAAATAGTTTAAGATCATGACAAGTATTTGGTATCTGCTTCTCAAATGTGATAGGCATCAAGGTTGTATAAATTTTCAGATACATGTACTGTAATTTGTTATATTGGGGTTCCTTAGTTTTGTATAAGCAGCCTTGCATGTGTTATTTATTTGTTTAGTACAAAGATTTTATATATGTTGCATATGACAAGATTAATAGAAAGTTAAAATTTTCTCAATTCTCAATTACAGTGTGGCTCTGCTACAAACACTTAAAGAATCCTCGTCAGAGAGAGGATATGCCTAGTCCTTACAGTATTGTTACTGCACTTGTAGATCGAATAGATTTTAATCAAGGGTCAATTCTGCGACCCGATAAGGATATCAGACTATCTGGACATGTTTCATGGGCTGGTCGGTCATCCTTGGAAGTCATCATCACGGTGGAACAGAATATTGATGGATTATGGAACCAGGTATTGGGTCCTAGATTTCTTTTTATTCCATTGAACTTTGTTCTTTTTTTAACTATTACTTAATTTCACAACATGCTCATAAATTGGAGATTTGGCTCTAATCAACATTTTGGTCCTTCTTATACCATTATTAAGTCATATTTCTCCAATTTGGGGGTCAGTTGCAAATTGTTCCAGCCTTGGTGAGGTTGCTTTTATTCTACTTACCATAAATCATTGTACAGTGGACCCCCGCATAACGATCACCTCCGAATGCGACCAATTATGTAAGTGTATTTATGTAAGTGCGTTTGTACGTGTATGTTTGGGGGTCTGAAATGGACTAATCTACTTCACAATATTCCTTATGGGAACAAATTCGGTCAGTACTGGCACCTGAACATACTTCTGGAGTGAAAAAATATCGTTAACCGGGGATCCACTGTACTGTACTTGTGATGGCTTCATAATTTTATCAGTTCTTTTTATTTATAATCACTTACCTATCTTTATTACTCTATAAATACAAAATCTCGAAACATACTGGACATCCAACAGTACATGTTCAAGATGAAGGAAATACATTTTGTATTTTCACAGTAAGTTTTGCAAGCTAGTATGTTATAAGGAGTATATCCTTCCTAAGATTGCTAGTTAGTGTATTATAACGAATATGCCCTTCCTACAATATTATCAAATATATGTCCTTAAGACTGAAAGCTAGTATGTTATAAGGAATATGTTCTTTGCAAGATTGCAAGCAAGTCTGTACTAAGGAACATGTCCCTCCTAAGATTGTATGCCTCAAAAGAGACATGAAAGATTGGATTTCTGTTGTAACCCCCTAGTACCAATTTAAATTTTAACAGTACTGTACATATTTCATTAATCTTGTGATTTAAACTTTGTGTTCGGATGCTCTACTGTACTCACAAGAAAAAGCAATTCTTCCTTTTCATTCAAGTGTAGTCTTAGCCTATTTTACAATTACTGTTTATATACATGATGTTGGGATTCTTCATTCTTGTTTACAAACTGGTTAAATTTTATGTACATTTTCAACCTATCCTTATTTTATGCCATTTGTTTTCTTATGCATTGTTCAGTGTCATTTCATGAACATTTCCTGTGTACAAAAAATACACCATAATTTTATTTATCCTTCCTCTGTAAGCCATGCATCTCGCAAGAGGTGACTACAATGCCAGAACCAAGAGGCTAGTAGCCCCTTCTCCTGTATGAATTACCACATGTAAAAAAACTTACATATTTTTTTTTTAGTCACTCTACCTTAGTGGGAGACACACTGTGTGTTAAAAAAAAAAATTCTTTTAGGTTAGAGTAGGTTATGTATGGTTTGTAAAGCAACAAAACCTTATATTTAACCACAGTTAAGAAAATTAGAAACTTAGTGACATGTGTGGCAGTTTGGTGTCTTCATGAACCCAGACAACATTAGAATCAGCACATTTTTTATGCATGATGTGAGGACATGCTGACATTGCAAAACCTCAAGTTGTATTTCCTCAGAATTTAATATTTATATAAAAAAAAGTGAATACCTGTTTTGAATTGAATAAGAAACTAGAGATAAAATGGATTTCTGTTTTATTGAGAATTATTGTAATGAATATTTCCCACTGGCAAGTAGCTGCATTGTCTTATATGCAGCTGAAAGTCAGAAGTTGTCACTTCATGCATGAAAAAAATAATGAAGAATTTAACAAAATGCTTAACAGTGGGTTTGGCTTAATGTAAATATTCCAATCCCCCAAAAGTTATAAAGGTTAATGTTGTAGGTAAATACTCATCAGTGAGGTGAAGGAAATATTTGAATATTTTGGTGTATCTCAGAGTTGTTGTGTAACTATAACCATTTTCTAATACTGCTGCAACTTTCCTGCAGGTTACTCGTGCAGTGTTTGTCATGGTTGCTCGGGATCCTCTTAATCAGGGCTCAGCTTTAGTTAATAAACTCACATGTGAAACACCTCAGGAGCAAAAATTGTATCAAGCTGGAGAGATAAACAAGTTCCATAGAAAACATATTCAAGAAGTGAGCCTATTCAAAGTGCCACCAAATGAGACAGGTTTGTTACAAGATTTTTCATTTCAGATTTTGCGTTTGAAAACATTTTCACTTTTTATTGATTGGTATTATCCTGTATTAATGTAAAAGCATTTAATTTGTAAGGAGTAATAAGTAATCAGGTTTGATCCAAGGAAGAGGAAGATAGCTTCAATTCCTTTGATGAAGAGTTTTTGAGCAGTATCAAGGCATCATCTTAAAGGGTCATTCCTTGGTAGAACAGAAAAGCATAAACAGTTTCTCAAGTTTAGCCAGTAAATTGAAAAATATTCTTTGTTGAGGAGAATTAGTATCCATTTGTTTAAAAAAAGATAAAAACATTATGAGGAAGAAGGACATTGATATAGGTGAAGCTTTTGGTATGAAAATGAGTATCCAGCACAATAAAAATTAAGACACACATTAATATAATACCCTAGGTAGTAGGTTGGTAGACAGCAACCACCCAGGGAAGTACTACCATCTTGCCAAGTGAGTGTAAAACAGAATCCTGTAATTGTTTTACATGATGGTAGGATTGCTGGTGTCTTGTTTTCTGTTTCATAAACATGCAAGATTTCAGGTACATCTTGCTACTTCTATTTACATTTAGGTCACTCTACACATGCATGTACAAGCATATATATATACACAAACCCCTCTGGGTTTTCTTGTTTCTTACTAGTTCTTGTTCTTGTTTATTTCCTCTTATCTCCATGGGGTAAGTGGAACAGAATTCTTCCTCTGTAAGCCATGCGTGTCGTAAGAGGCAACTAACATGCTGGGAACAAGGGGCTAGTAACCCCTTCTCCTGTATACATTACTAAAGTTAAAAAGAGAAACTTTTGTTTTTGTTTTTGGTCCACCCTGCCTCAGTGAGATACAGCCAATTTGTCGAAAGAAGATTTAAGTAATACATGTACTGTATTAATGGTTTAGAAGAGCTACTGATATGAGACCCTTCAAGGAAGGTCCAATTTTTTATGCAAATGAATTGGAGCCAACCTCCTGATTCTTGGATCAAAACTGATTGCCTCCCATTTTCCAGGCACTTTATGATTCATATGGGTTTAACACCTCCCTTGTAAATCTAATATAATGCTGGGAGGAGTGTATCAGAAATACAGGGGATACATTAGTGTAAATTGCAATGGGAATAAAAGAAAAAATAAATATTTTATTTATTTTTTTTTATAAATGTGAGAATGGAGTCAGGTATAATAACACTTGTCAGAGTGCATAGTTCCAGAATGCTTAAACATATAAAACACTGAACTCTCTTGTATTTAATTTTCAGCATAACACAATGAGTGGTGGAAGTTGTCTTTCATCTGCTAATTGTAAGACAGATGCTTTACCTAACTGAACTTGCTTAGTAGTTAGAGAATTTTATGGAATAAAATTTAGAGGGTAGAAATTTCAGATGGTTTTAGAGTGTAGGTGAATGGGTAAAATACTGTTTAATAAAGAGAATTCCAATTAGTAATGCACATAGGAGAGAGAGAGGAAGGCTGAAAATAGTAGATGAACAAGGCAAGAATGTATGAAAGTGAAACTTGTGCACAGTGTTGTGTAAGGACAGAAATTTTTGGTGGATTGTTCACCTACATTCTAAGAAGTAGCACACTAGATACTGTTCATGATAACTTCAGATTTCATGGACCATTATGAATGCTGTAGTTCTTAAAAAATACAATGGAAAGTACAGTGCCTGCATTCTGAAGAAGGGGTGGGGATATTTGCAGTTTGCAAGGGCATCTGAACTGTAGTATGTATTTACACACCTCTGGCAAGACAGTGATAGAGTGAATGATGGTGAAAGTGTTTCTTTTTCGGGTCACCCTACCTCGGTGGGAGACGATCAGTGTGTTAAAAAAATATTTATTTTATTCTGGGTATTGATTATTTTGTTTAAATTTGCATAATTGTATGAATATACTTTTGTTTCACTGTAAAGAAAGATTCGTCTCTTTTCCAGAGAAAACATTGGTTCATGAGCTGTTTATGTCAATGGCTAATTCTAAGGAACTCTCATTCTCTTCAAAGAAAAAACCTGAAAATTCTATTTGGCTTGAAGAAACCAAACTGAAAAACCTAATCATATGCCATCCTGAGGTAATAATTTGCTACAGTAGTACTACATTCTAAGGAAACTCCCATGCCATGCACAGCATTTTGAGCAGAGTAAAACTAGTATTTACTAATTACTTAATTCTAGTACAAGTATTTTAGTATTGAATGTAATGTGTAATTTTAATTTGAATGACAATTCAGCATAACTAATTCCTGTATATAAAGTGGTTTAGATTACAGTGAGGAAGTAGTAGTTAAATAAGTTAGCAATGTAAGGTGCAGTTGACATAATAACGGTGGGAGACGACCGACTTATTGAAAAAAAAAAAAAATACATATAACATGATAATTTAAAAAAATATTATGATTTGATTTACTTTTCCCATAAAATGCAATTCTAGCAGCAGTTTCCATGAACGTGTAATAATTTACGAATTTTAGCTAAATAATGAGCTTATAACTTATATTTAATGTTATTTGAGGTTCAGGAAATATATTGGAGATAATATTTTTGATTCTTCATTTAGGTTGTTCCGTATTTTGGGTCCTTTGAGCTGCTTGGAGTGTTTTAATATTATCTGTAAAAAGGTGTCTCATTGTCTTTCAGTATGTGACTAATAAAATATTGATTTTATACTTTAAGACAAACTCCAGATTGATTTTGTTAGAATTTTACCTAAACCCTCTTCAGCACAGGAACCGGTTCAAGAAGGTGTTTGGAGGGTTTATCATGCGCCAAGCTTATGAGTTGGGGTGGGCATGTGCCTTTACTTTTAGGTCAGTAGCATTTTCAGGAACCTGTGTTTATAAATTGTTGATAAATTCACATGTATTTCCCTTGCTCTGAGATATGGCTTTACTTTCCAAGTACAGGTGTTAATACTTACTAATACTAACATTGAAATACTATTCTTCAACTCTTTCAAAAGCAACATCCTTGAGACTGCAGCCATGTTGGTTTCTCAACCATGCAGGTTCTCTAGTGGACTGATTGTAAAATAACTCAACCTCTTTTGACATGTTAAGGTTATAGTGCTCCTTTTATCTTAAACAGTAATACGTCTTTTCATAAATAATATTTATACAAACTATAAATATTAAATTGAGTAAATAACTTAATGCAACATGATGTGATGGTCAGACATTTCAAAATGAGATGTAATGTGCTATGTAAAATTGGTACAAGTGTTAGTTTCTTAAGACTAACTTTAATTTTTTTTAGTTTTCTCCTTTTCATGTGTCTGTTTTTAAAGAGTTTATTTTACTGTATTTTGTAATGTATTATTTATGGAGGTTCATGGATATACATATATGCATGAGTGTAGAGCCATTATGAATGCAGTAAATTACTGTAATTTCGAAGTACTATATATTTACAGTAGTGCATTAGAATTCTAGTAATGACAAGTTGTCTTGAAAATTTGATAGAAATTAATATGATCATTTGTTATAAAAATAGCCAATTGCTTTGATTTGCCTACACTTGTACTTTCCAAGGTGTCACTGCTATAAACCCTTCTTATAGCTAAACCTTGAGGCCCTCTTAATATGTTGCACCTTGAAAGTGGAAACTAACTGGATTGATTGTTAAATCAACCATTCATGGTATATTATTTTATTATTGCTTTGTTGTGTATATATACATATGCTGGGGGGGTGTATAAATCTGTAGTGGAGGGAAAGCAGGGTCGGGGTCACTCGAGGAAAGGATGGAGAGAAGGGGTAAAAGAGGTTTTGTGTGCAAGGGGCTTGTACATCCAGCAGGCATGTGTGAGCATGTTAGATAGGAGTGAGTGGAGGCAAGTGGTTTTTGAGACCTGATGAGCTGTTGGAGTATGAGCAAGGTAACATTTTGTAAAGGATTCAGGGACTTGAGTCCTGGAGGTGGGAAGTACAGTGTCTACACTCTAAAGGAGGGATGGGGATTGAAGTTTTGGAAGGGCATCTGAACTGTAGTAGTTATGCACCTCTGGCAAGACAAAGATAGAAGTGTACTAACATCACAGTTCAGATGATCCTCCAAACTGCAGTGTCCTCACCCACCTCCTTTAGTCTAGGCACTGTACTTTCCACCTCCAAGTTTCAAGTCTGGATAACCAGCTTCCATGAAACCCTTCATAAATGTTGTGCTCACATTCCAACACCACGTCAGATCATAAAAAGTCACATACCACCTCTCTGATCTGACACACTCACAGATGCCTTTTGGGTGCTTAGGCATCTAGCATTCGAAACCTCCTTTACCTCCCTCCCTCCAACCCTTTCTATGTTTTATGTATATTGTAATTTTTATACTGTATATTAGCAATGCTTACATTTTCTGAATGATCAGTATTCTAGATTTGGTGGTGCCCTCAAGCATTCCAAATTACAGTACTCTTACTCTACTGTATTTCTAACTACAGTATAAAGTACATGTAATTGATTTGTAATTAGGAAAGGTTTATTTCATGTTACCTACTAAAACTTTTAGTAACCCTCTTCATCTGATTTTGATTACAAATACAGCGTACTTACTGTAATCTGTCACTCAAAACTTCCTGGCATTTACTAACACAAAGTTAATGCATGCCTTTTCTTGATGCTTTAATCCCTCATATGCATAAGTATACGGTAGGGTTATAATTGAAAGAATTAGAGGTAAGACAGAATGTAGGATTGCAGATGAGCAGGGAGGCTTCAGAGTGGGTAGGGGATGTGTAGATCAAGTGTTTACATTGAAGCATATATGTGAACAGTATTTAGATAATTGTAGGGAAGTTTTTATTGCATTTATGGATTTAGAAAAGGCATATGATAGAGTGGATAGAGGAGCAATGTGGCAGATGTTGCAAGTATATGGAATAGGTGGTAAGTTACTAAATGCTGTTAAGAGTTTTTATGAGGATAGTGAGGCTCAGGTTAGGGTGTGTAGAAGAGAGGGAGAATACTTCCCAGTAAAAGTAGGTCTTAGACAGGGATGTGTAATGTCACCATGGTTGTTTAATATATTTATAGATGGGGTTGTAAAAGAAGTAAATGCTAGGGTGTTCGGGAGAGGGGTGGGATTAAATTATGGGGAATCAAATTCAAAATGGGAATTGACACAGTTACTTTTTGCTGATGATACTGTGCTTATGGGAGATTCTAAAGAAAAATTGCAAAGGTTAGTGGACGAGTTTGGGAATGTGTGTAAAGGTAGAAAGTTGAAAGTGAACATAGAAAAGAGTAAGGTGATAAGGGTATCAAATGATTTAGATAAAGAAAAATTGGATATAAAATTGGGGAGGAGGAGTATGGAAGAAGTGAATGTTTTCAGATATCTGGGAGTTGACGTGTCGGCGGATGGATTTATGAAGGATGAGGTTAATCATAGAATTGATGAGGGAAAAAAGGTGAGTGGTGCGTTGAGGTATATGTGGAGTCGAAAAACGTTATCTATAGAGGCAAAGAAGGGAATGTATGAAAGTATAGTAGTACCAACACTCTTATATGGATGTGAAGCTTGGGTGGTAAATGCAGCAGCGAGGAGACGGTTGGAGGCAATAGAGATGTCCTGTCTAAGGGCAATGTGTGGTGTAAATATTATGCAGAAAATTCGGAGTGTGGAAATTAGGAGAAGGTGTGGAGTTAATAAAAGCATTAGTCAGAGGGCAGAAGAGGGGTTGTTGAGGTGGTTTGGTCATTTAGAGAGAATGGATCAAAGTAGAATGACATGGAAAGCATATAAATTTATAGGGGAAGGAAGGAGGGGTAGGGGTCGTCCTCGAAAGGGTTGGAGAGAGGGGGTAAAGGAGGTTTTGTGGGCGAGGGGCTTGGACTTCCAGCAAGCATGCATAAACATATTAAATAGGAGTGAATGGAGACGAATGATACTTGGGACCTGACGATCTGTTGGAGTGTGAGCAGGGTAATATTTAGTGAAGGGATTCAGGGAAACCGGTTATTTTCATATAGTCAGACTTGAGTCCTGGAAATGGGAAGTACAATGCCTGCACTTTAAAGGAGGGGTTTCGGATATTGGCAGTTTGGAGGGATATGTTGTGTATCTTTATACGTATATGCTTCTAAACTGTTGTATTCTGAGCACCTCTGCAAAAACAGTGATAATGTGTGAGTGTGGTGAAAGTGTTGAATGATGATGAAAGTATTTTCTTTTTGGGGATTTTCTTTCTTTTTTGGGTCACCCTGCCTCGGTGGGAGACGGCCGACTTGTTGAAAAAAAAAAAATGCAGCCTTCCCCTTCCTTCTACAAATTTTTCATTGTTCTCAGTTTTTTTTTTTTTCAACAAACCTGCCACTTCCCAGTGAGGTAGGGTGACCCAAAAAAAGAAGAAACACTTTCAACATCTCTCCTTCCATCACTGTCTTGCCTGAGGCATGCCACTACTGCAGTTGAGAACTGCAAATATCCCCACCCTTTCTTCAGAGTGCAGGCACCGCACTTCCCACCTCCAGGCTTCAAGTCCGGCTAACTGGTTTTCCTGAATTCTTTCATAAAGGTTACCTTGCTCACAATCCAACAACATATCAAGTCATAAAAACCACTTGCCTCCACTCACTCTTATCTTAAAAGGCTCACACACACTAGCTGCATGTCTTAAGCTCTCACACACAAAATGTCCTTAATCCCCACCCTCCAACCTTTCCTAGGATCACCCCTACCCTGCCTTCCCTCCACTCCAGATTCATATGCCCTCCAATTCATTCTGTTTTGTTCCACCCTCTCTAAATGTCCGAACCACCTGAACAGCTCCTCCTCACACCTCTGGATATTACTTTTGATAATCCCGCACCTGCTTCTAATCTCCAAGCTATGAATTCTCTGCATGATATTCATGCCATTCATTGCTCTCAGACAAATCTCCACTGCCTCCAGCCATCTCTTTGCTGCAACATTCACAACACGTTTCACCCCCATATCAGAGTGTTGGTACCACTATACTCTCATACGTTCCCTTTTTAATTCCATGGATAACGTTCTTTATCTCCACACATTCCTCAGTGCACCACTCGCCTTTTTTTCTTGTTAATTGTATGGTTCGCCTAGTTTTTCATAGACCATTTGCTGACAAGTCCATTCCCAAATTTTTGAACACATTCACTTCCTCCATACTCCATCCAATCTTGATATCTGATCTTTCATTAATTAAATTTTTTTAGTTACCCCTTATCACTTTGCTCTTTCCTGTGTTCACTTTTAATTTCTCAATTTTGTACAAATATAGTTTTTCAACCACTGTTAGTAATATATGCAGAATCAATATGAGTACAGTACCAGACTAGCCTCTGTCGCTAATATAGATTTCCAGTTTAAGACTTCTCAGTTTCTTACCTTATTTTGCAAATTGATAAATCATTTTGCCAGACTTTCTGTTGTGTCTTATGATATAAAAAAAAATTTAATGTGTAATACTGTACATTGTTTTTCCTTCACACGATATACGTGACTCGGAGCATTTAATTTTGCCATACAGCCTTTATTCCGATAGAAGATGGTGATCAACATGCACAGATGTGGTGAATTAGTATGGACTTTTATTGTAATAGCTTTCTATCTCTCTCTGGAAAAATATAGAAAAATATTTTCTCACTCTCTTTCAGTTTCGCAATGTCTACAACAAAATCTTTGGTGGATACTTGATGCGGAAGGCATTTGAGCTTTCATGGGCCAATGCATTTACATTTAGGTTAGTGCAATTGAAGATAGTGATTTGTAGTATGTACTATGTAGTATGTACTATGTAATATGTAGTATGTACTATGGTTGTTTAATATATTTATAGATGGGGTTGTAAAAGAAGTAAATGCTAGGGTGTTCAGGAGAGGGGTGGGATTAGATTATGGGGAATTAAATACAAAATGGGAAGTGACACAGTTACCTTTTGCTGATGATACTGTGCTTATGTGATTTTCAAAAGAAAAATTGCAAAGGTTAGTGGACGAATTTGGGAGTGTGTGTAAAGGTAGAAAGTTGAAAGTGAACATAGAAAAGAGTAAGGTGATGAGGGTATCAAATGATTTAGATAAAGAAAAATTGGATATCAAATTAGGAAGGATGGATTTATAAAGGATGAGGTTAATCATAGAATTGATGAGGGAAAAAAGGTGAGTGGTGCATTGAGGTATATGTGGAGACAAAAAATGTTATCTATGGAGGCAAAGAAGGGAATGTATGAAAGTATAGTAGTACCAACACTCTTATATGGGTATGAAGCTTGGGTTGTAAATGCTGCACCAAGGAGGCGGTTGGAGGCAGTGGAAATGTCCTGTCTAAGGGCAATGTGTGGTGTAAATATTATGCGGAAAATTCGGAGTGTGGAAATTAGGAGAAGGTGTGGAGTTAATAAAAGTATTAGTCAGAGGGCAGAAGAGGGGTTGCTGAGGTGGTTTGGTATTTAGAGAGAATGGATCAAAGTAGAATGACATGGAGAGCGTATAAATCTGTTAGGGAAGGAAGGCGGGGAGGGGGCGGCCTCGGAAAGGTTGGAGGGAGGGAGTAAAGGAGGTTTTGTGGGCGAGGGGCTTGGACTTCCAGCAAGCGTGCGTGAGCATGTTAGATAGGAGTGAATGGAGACGAATGGTATTTGGGACCTGACGAGCTGTTAGAGTGTGAGCAGGGTAATATTTAGTGAAGGGATTCAGGGAAACCGGTTATTTTATATAGCCAGACTTGAGTCCTGGAAATGGGAACTACAATGCCTGCACTTTAAAGGAGGGGTTTAGGATATTGGCAGTTTGGAGTTATGTGTTGTGTATCTTTATACGTATATACTTCTAAACTGTTGTATTCTGAGCACCTCTGCAAAAACAGTGATTATGTGTGAGTGAGGTGAAGGTGTTGAATGATGATGAAAGTATTTTCTTTTTGGGGATTTTCTTTCTTTTTGGGTCACCCTGCCTTGGTGGAAGATGGCCGACTTGTTGAAAAAAAAAAACTATCAATATACAGTGGACCCCCGCATAACGATTACCTCCGAATGCGACCAATTATGTAAGTGTATTTATGTAAGTGCGTTTGTACGTGTATGTTTGGGGGTCTGAAATGGACTAATCTACTTCACAATATTCCTTATGGGAACAAATTCGGTCAGTACTGGCACCTGAACATACTTCTGGAGTGAAAAAATATCGTTAACCGGGGGTCCACTGTATTGCCCAATTGAGAATTTCTGATTGAGGAGCGCATAATAAAAAACTTTTGTCTGTACTGTACTGCTAAGCTCTTTTGGGAAAGGTGATTGACAAGTACAACATTTGATATATTCCTTTTATGGTAAATATTATCCTAAAACATATTTAGTAGCACAGTAGTAGCCTTTCTTGGATAATTCTTGTGTTACAATATTTGAGAAAGATTGCTACTATGCTGTTAATTATGTGTCTTATGTTATATAATGTTTACCATAAAAGACCTTTATCAAAACTGTACAGGCAGGCCCTGCTTATACAGCAGGTTAGGTTCCAGGCTACTGCTGTAAAGCAAAAATTACTGTAAAGTGAATCAATCTTTTTTCACTTTCAAATGCTATAATAGCCTGATAACTTGTTTATACTATCATATATTAAGTGAGCAATAAAGCTAGACCTAAAAAATGCATATACAATACAAAAATTACTTTTTTTTTTTTACAGTAAACCGGCCAAATCCCACCAAGGCAGGGTGGCCCAAAAAGAAAAACAAAAGTTTCTCTTTTTAAATTTAGTAATTTATACAGGAAAAGGGGTTATTAGCCCCTTGCTCCCGGCATTTTAGTCGCCTCTTACAACACGCATAGCTTACGGAGGAAGATTTCTGTCCCACTTCCCCATGGAGATAAGAGGAAATAAACAAGAACAAGAACTAGTAAGAAAATAGAAGAAAACCCAGAGGGGTGTGTGTGTATATATACATGCTTGTACATGTATGTGTAGTGTGACCTAAGTGTAAGTAGAAGTAGCAAGATGTACCTGAAACCTTGCATGTTTATGAGACAAAAAATGGACACCAGCAATCCTACCATCATGTAAAACAATTACAGGCTTTCGTTTTACATTCACTTGGCAGGACAGTAGTACCTCCCTGGGCGGTTGCTGTCTACCAACCTACTACCTAGGACAAATTACTTACCTTAAAATATTTTCATCCTGAGCCTAGAGTGAGTGGTGAATATATTTATTGTAGGAAGTTTGAATAAATGAAGAATGGGTATAATTGACAACTGCTGCATCTGCAAAGCTCTGTAAAGTGGGGGCTGTCATATATTAATGACAAGCACAGTACTTAACAAGTAAAATGTTACTGACATCTTCATCAGTTTGCTGTTGGTAATTTTATCTATAATTATACAACTTTTCACTCTCAATATGCTAAATAATTTGTGGGTTCTATTGTAGTGCTTTTTTAACTAAGCATATATATTCTTCCAAACCCAATAACAATATTATTACTTTGATACTAAACATTTAAATACATTCTTTCCATCCTTTTCATGTTATCTCCAGATTTGATAGTAATTACCTTTTACATCTCTAACATGCACTCCATTGTCATTATAACCTTCTCAGTACATATCTTTTCTTCTTAATCAAATGTATACTTGACTTATTATCAGAATCTTAAGTCATTATCTTGTAGCTTCTCTTAATTAACTTTTTCACTTTTATATTTTTGTTATGCCTGTCTCTCTCTCATTTTTATTATCTTTATTCACATTACAGTGGACCCCTGGTTCGCGATATTAATCCATTCCTGAGAGCTCATCGGAAAGCGAATCAATTTTCCCCATAAGAAATAATGGAAATCAAATTAATCTGTGCAAGACACCCAAAAGTATGAAAAAAAAAACTTTTACCACATGAAATATTAAGTTTAATGCAATAGAATAATTACAATAACAACAATAACAATAGAATAATAAAAATAGAATAATTGACACTTACCTTTAATGAAGATCTGGTGATGATTGATAGGCTGGGAGGAGGGGAGAGTGTTGAACCTATTGTTTAGAAGGGGAATCCCCCTCCATTAGGACTTGAGGTAGCTTTTCCTCCTGAGTAATGTAGGTCCTGCTTGGCAATTTCTTCCAAAACAGGCCTGTTTTGTCACAATTAAACACTTGTTCAGGTTTCAAATCTTCAGCCCCTATGTACTCCTTGAATTCATGCACATATTTTTCAGCCGCTTTGTGGTCTGAACTGGCAGCCTCACCATGCCTAATCACACTATGTATGCCACTACGATTCTTAAATCTTTCAAACCAACCTTTGCTGGCCTTAAATTCACTCACATCACCACTAGTTGCAGGAAATTTCTTTACCAAATCGTCATGCAGCTGCCTAGCCTTTTCACAAATGATCGCTTGAGAGATGCTATCTCCTGCTATCTGTTTTTCATTTATCCACACCAATAACAGTCTCTCAACATTTTCTAACACTTGCGGTTGCTGTTTCGTAATCACAGTTGCACCTTTTGCAAGAACAGCTTTCTTGATTGCCGTTTTCCTGCTCACTATAGTAGAGATGGTTGATTGGGGTTTACTACACAACCTGACCAGCTCCGACACACACACACTCCACTTTCGTACTTTGCAATTATCTCTTTCTTCATATCAATAGTCATTAGCACCCTTGGTCTCGAAGGGTTGGCACTAGAAGCTTTCTTGGGGCCCATGGTGACTTATTTTGCAGAAACAAGCGCCAAAAACAGTGATAATATGGAATGTACCGAATGTATCCTTAGATGCGCGCACACTGGCTGGCTTGTAAACATTGGTACACACGGGAAAGTTCAGGCCACACGTGGACATTTCTTGTACGAATCGCATCGCATACCGGGTTTTGTAACGGGAACCGAGGCAAATTTTTGGCGATATAATGCATCGGTTACCGGATTTATCGGATACTGATAGCATCGCGAACCGGGGGTCCACTGTACTTTATTTAAATTTTTTGACATGTTTTCATTACATATGTCAGCATTGTTCTTTTACATTTTTTCACCTCCCTTTTGCAAGCTTTTTCTTCTTAATTTTGCCATTGTCTTCATTCCTCCCTTTTGACTGCTTAATGCTTGGCATGTCTTCTGAGAACTAATAGTTGCATGATGGTTGGCAGTTTCTATGTATGTCTCTTCCTATTCTTGCATCCATCACCCACTTTAGTACAATATTCTATTAACATTTATATTATATAATTCAAATGCATCTTCATCTTTCAGCATTGCAAAGCATATGTAAATGTACATCTGTGTTTATGAAAATGATTGCTTGTTCTATAGTATTATTATTTATACTTCTGTTTCTTCACAACTCTACAAGAAATAAAGGTCACTTGCTTCATATATGGACCTTACATGCTAAGGTTTCATATAGTGTATATTAATGCTTTCTGTTTATAGATGTAGAAGTTAAAGCCAACAGATATAAGTATAAAGATACAGTAGACAGTACAAACTTTTATTGGGACTACATTTCACTCAGGGTTCAAATTTATTAAGTCATACAGAGGATACCTTTACATGTACAAATACTCACTGAGAGTGAGGTAAGAACAATAAAGAATTATATGTCGGGTGATAATGATGTAGGTATCAGAGCATTGCAGTTAGTCTTCTGGTGCATTTTCCATATAAAGTAATATGTGCCTAGGGTTTGTTAGGCTGAAAGCACCCTGATTCTGTTTAATAGTATCTCTTGCCCTGATGATTGCCAATTCCAGGCACCTCAAAAATAAGTTTGGCATCTGTCCATGCCGTAAGATGTGTATTATTTAAAATATTACAAAATTTAATTTTTTAGTCACTCTTCTTATAAATAACCTGTGAATGTCACTTTTCCCATGGATCTATGTCAAGTCATATCACTTAGACCATGCTGCAAGGTGTGTAGCCTAGAGACTAGTCAACACATAGTGTAGAACATCAATAGCTTCTTGCTATTTCTTGTAGTTTAAACCAGGGATTACTTGCTATGAGAATAAGCTTGTTAGATTTCCTAGCTGGTAGACTCGCTTGACAATCTCTGTACGTAACATCTAAAATAATCATGTAGGAACATTATATGTTTCATTTTCTATATCTTTCTTAATGAATTTGTAACTTATTTTTGCACTTGAGCTACTTATAACAGTAAAGACTTCACCTGTTTTGAGATTTTCTGACTTGGTTTGCATTTAAGGTTAATTCATGCAAAAACATTATATTCTTGTATTTCTTAATGTTGCATTCAAAAATTAGATCTGAGCTTTGTACAAACATAAAAGCCAACATTAGAACTTATCTAAACCTTGTATTCCCTTTCACTCAGCATTTACCATATTATTTATAGATTTTCTTATACAGTGGAACCTCAAAAATCGAACTTTCTTCGGTCCAGAAGGCTGTTTGAGTGCCTTTACCGAATGAATTTATTCCCATCAGGAATAATGTAAATTAGATTAGTCCATTTCAGATCTCAAAAATACACTTATAAAAGCACTTACAAAAATACACTTACATAATTGGTTGTGTTGGGAGCAGTTCGATTTTTGAGGTTCCACTGTATTTTGTAGAATTTTAGGTTAATAATCCCAGTTTCTATTGTGGGCAAATAATATGCAGTATTAGTTATGAAGCAGTTTTTTCATGTTATATTATTTCTTTATAGTAAAGTTAATTACATTTGGTAAATATTTTATGTACAGTACTTTAAGCTCACATATTTTTTGGTATATTCTAATTAATGAATACTCATAACTTTCTCATCAGCAAGCAACGACCAAGAGCATTGCACGTAGATGATATCATGTTCCGTCGCCCAGTGGAAATTGGTTCACTGCTCTATCTTAACTCACAGGTTAGTATTTAATTTCTTCACATTCTTTCCCTACTTTTCAGAGAATATTGTTTTGAATACTTTCACAGTATATTTAAAAGATACCCTAAAGGTTTTACATTACAGTACTATATATAAAAAATGCCCTTATATTTTACAAAAGATAGACATGGATTTAACTTTTAATTCTGTCCACCATGCTAGTACATAGGTGATGACTGTGTCCAATGTACAAGTACACACCTGCCAATATTTTTAACCTCATCTCAACTGTCTGGGATCTCCTACAACTTCCTGATTCCTTTGAAAAAGTGTTGTAAATGAATGGTTCAGAGAACCGACATGTTGTTGAATTAGACACATGTGCAACTCTTGGATATCTTTATTGAGGAAACGTTTCGCCACATAGTGGCTTCATCAGTCCATACGTAGGAGAAACTTGAAGAACAGGAGGAGAATGAGGTAATCAGTCCCTCAGCCTTGAGTCGATGTGGTCAGTCCATCAATCTTGAATAGAATACGGTATATGAGCGGAGAAGCAGCTTATAAACCGTAGACAGGTGAGGGGCAGCAGTCGTAGGTGGCGTCACATTTGTCCAATGTGGAAGTAGGTCGTGCCCAAGGGTTAGGCAAGTGAAGAATTCCCAAGTATTAAGATCCCAAGAAGTCTAAGACTAGGCAGGTTCATGCAGTGCGTCATGGGGTAACACTGCCTAACTAGCGTAAGTAAACTATGAAATTAGGACCTGTTGATTTACCACCAACTTCCCTACCAGCAAACAGGATGTGGAACTGCCTGGAAAATGCCTTATTTATTCCAGATCTGTTACAGTATCATCATATTAATAGTGGAATTCAGCCAATAAGCATACTATGTAGATTTAACCTAAGGCAGTGGTTCCCCAACTTTTTTCTCAGGGCTGCACTCTTGGAATAAAAATTTGCTCGTGCCACACCAAATTTTTATTGATAAGAAATACATTAAAAAAAAAAAAAACTCCTAGTAATGACTGCTTCATATTGTAGAAGACAACTGTTTTATAATATGATCATGGGACATCCAGAAAGTATAAAACAATGCAGCTACATAATAACATGACTCATTCCTAAAATATACTTATAGACAAGCCTCTTACATATGTAACCTCTATATATGAATGTTTAAATGTTTCTTTGATTGCCTTTGAATTTTCCTGCCACACTTACCATTCTCTTTTTCTCTCGCCACACCAGTGTGGTGCACCACACCCTTAGGGAACAGGTGACCTAGGGTAACCCAATATAGTCAGTGTGACTTATTTCTACATTTCTATGAGTATTACACTTTAAAACAAGTGAAATAACTTAAGGTTTCCATGTAAATATATGTTTTACAGTGGTCTGGAAGGCACACATGTTATGGACACACACACAGAGTTCATTATGTTTATTTAACCTAGGATATTCCCTCAAACTTAAATACATATACAGTATAACATAAACAGTAACCTAGGATAATCCTATATATTCAAACATTGTGACTTATTTACATAGTTTGTTATACTGTATCAATTATCCCTTGTATATAGTGTTAGAAGACCAAAGTAGTAAAAAAAATTTTAAAACAATTATTTGTTCCACTTTATACTGTATATTCTATATGGAGCAATATTGGGTTTTGCATTTCCGTATGTTTGAAGTACTAAAATGCTTCAAACATCTCTGATATCATAAGAAACTAGTGTACATAGTCTTGAACATTAAAAGAAATAAAAACAAAAAGCGATCATAATTTGGCATCAATAAATTGTGAAATGTAAATATTGCTGGTGCATTTACACCATTGTTGCCGATGAGTGACCATTTTTTTAAGAACTTCAGCACGCCTTAAATTCTTAAGTCTTTATCAGTCTCTTTCGATGTATAAAAATGTACTCTTTCAATCTCTTAAAAAAAACTATTTTTCAAAATCTTGCTCCACACACAGGAATTTTAATTTCTGGTTATGCCATAGTTAGGAGGTTAAAGAAACATAAAGAAAACAAATTGTGTTCCCTATAATTTCATAACAGAATTTTCTTTAATTTTAGGTTGTATATACCGAAGGACATCATATTCAGATCAGTACGAAAGCGAGTGTGATGGATCCAACTACAGGATCTATTAATCTCACAAATATCTTCCACTTCACTTATGAAGTTAACCAACCAGTCCCATTTGTATTGCCCAAGACATATCATGGTAATTTATTAGTGTTTTTAATTACTATCCATCAATTAACATTGCATTATTGTATTACCCATCCATTGTATTTGTGTTTAGGATTTAGTATAAACATACTAAATGTTTTCACTAGTGCATTTAAGGAATGGGTGTTTTATAGAGCAATTGTTTATGTAATTAATAAGCAGCAGTGTGCTGAGAGTTGGGTATTAATGGATAATGCAACAAAGTTTTACATAATTTCAGAAATGGATGACTCTCAAATGGATGGGAAGAGGAGGGATTGTATACTAATCTCTAGAAAACTTTTGAAATTTATAGAGTAAAATAAAGGAAGACTAAAGAGATATCACAATATAGATGGAGAGTCATAAAATTGTCTGTAGTTTCTTCATTGCTTATTATTCTTATAAACTTTTAGGCTCTGTTAAACTTCCTGTAAACAACCAGTCACTCTCACCCCAGAAATGTAGTTATTTTTTTTTTTTATTATCACACCGGCCGATTCCCACCAAGGCAGGGTGGCCCGAAAAAGAAAAACTTTCACCATCATTCACTCCATCACTGTCTTGCCAGAAGGGTGCTTTACACTACAGTTTTTAAACTGCAACATTAACACCCCTCCTTCAGAGTGCAGGCACTGTACTTCCCATCTCCAGGACTCAAGTCCGGCCTGCCGGTTTCCCTGAATCCCTTCATAAATGTTACTTTGCTCACACTCCAACAGCACGTCAAGTATTAAAAACCATTTGTCTCCATTCACTCCTATCAAACACGCTCACGCATGCCTGCTGGAAGTCCAAGCCCCTCGCACACAAAACCTCCTTTACCCCCTCCCTCCAACCCTTCCTAGGCCGACCCCTACCCCGCCTTCCTTCCACTACAGACTGATACACTCTTGAAGTCATTCTGTTTCGCTCCATTCTCTCTACATGTCCGAACCACCTCAACAACCCTTCCTCAGCCCTCTGGACAACAGTTTTGGTAATCCCGCACCTCCTCCTAACTTCCAAACTACGAATTCTCTGCATTATATTCACACCACACATTGCCCTCAGACATGACATCTCCACTGCCTCCAGCCTTCTCCTCGCTGCAACATTCATCACCCACGCTTCACACCCATATAAGAGCGTTGGTAAAACTATACTCTCATACATTCCCCTCTTTGCCTCCAAGGACAAAGTTCTTTGTCTCCACAGACTCCTAAGTGCACCACTCACTCTTTTTCCCTCATCAATGTAGTTATAGTATATAATATTTCCCTGCAATAAAACATCTAGTGTGTGGGAGCCAAGCAGCAGAGAATCTTGTATGCTTGGAGACATGCCAGGACTTGGAGATTTTGTTTCATTCCAGAAAATCTGTAATAATGTTAATGACAGTTAAAAAGTACAGAACTTTTATTTAAAATCCCAAATATATTATCTAAAAAATTGCAAAGAATGCACTTACCAGAAAACTATTTGTATGTCTTTTTGCAAATACTTCAGTGCTGTTATTTTCTGATGTAAAAATAATTGAAGCAGCATCAGCAGTAGATAGAAGTTGTTGAGGGAACTGGAGATACGGTGCTCATCATTAAAATATGTTAGCCCCCCTCTAAAATCACAGCCACCAAATAGGTCATACCTTGTGCTTTAGGATATCCTTCAACCATCTAGGAAGTGATTAGCACACATTCTCCAGAGTTTCAAGGGGTAAATTCTCCCATGACTCACAGATGGCATTCTCCGGCTGTTGGAGAGGGCTGATATCCTTTCCCTAGTAAATCTCCCTATATCAGCCCAGAGTTTTCCCAGTGGGGTTTAAGCCTGGTGAATTTTCTGGCCAATCATCAAAGAAGGGGTATCTCACAATCACAGAGCCATTGAACAACAGGTTTCACGGTGTGAGAAAGAAGTGTCTTGCATGAAAACCTTGCACCACACTGAGTGAAAGATATAGGCAAATGATAACAGACAAATTCTTGGTATGTAATTATTACTGTTAACATAAGTAAGGATGATTTTCTGGGCTTTCCTGGACATATTTTTGGTGTGGGCATGTAATGAACACTGTCCTCAAGGAACCAATGCAGTCAGGTCCTCACTGGAAACTCACATACATTGCTGACTTCTACTATTTTCTGTTTGATGGCCTGCCTTATGTACTCTAATGATCTCTGCAGTTGTCTCGAGTCAATAGCCAAAATATCCAGCAAACTTGGAAGTCAAAACTACACAGTGTAGGGTTACCAAGGATGCAAAACCATCCATCACACAAGCCCAAAAGGCACTTAGGATGCAGCCAGTAGTAACAAGGAATACTGAGACATCCCACTTTGAGTTGTCATGCCAGTACATGTATAACTTTTTGCTAATGGACAAATGTGCCATAGTAGGATATTACTTTGAACATTGGATTGTGTCTGTGCCTTCCATGCAGCATACTTTATTGATAAGCACTGTAAATGTCTAAACATCCACAAGAATTGGATCACCACAGGAAATCTTGTACAGTGTGTGTTATTTCTTGTCCATTTTGTGTTTATTTATTTATTTCACATCTTTTTCTTGCCATTATAGAAGCCATGTTATTCTTGGATGGTCGACGCCACTACCAGTTGGTGAGAGGACTCCACAAATTTTATGGCCAAGCGGACAAGGCCTCAGACACTTTAGTTTAAGGTAATTTTGTGCATTCTACAACTTTAAAAAATAAGAAAATCATTTTTTATAAAGTATTTAATGTTACAAAAAGTTTAATATATGAATATTGAAATTTTATTGCTATTCACATTAGCATGTGTATGTGTGTGTAAACAGGAGGTATATTGTACACATATTATTTTAAGACTGTATAAAGCAGATATCAGCTCAGTCACTGGTTAATGATCTTAAGAAAGATCATTATTATCTTCACTTAATTTCCTATAGTGATAAAGATGATAAACTTTGTACTTTGTTGCAACTTGAGATATGAAGTGGAATAGTACTGTACTGTAAATAAAATTCTGAATGTAGCACAGTACCTTTATATGTTGATTTTATTTTTCAGAAGGTGCAACTCGGGATTTTCTGAGACTACACTCTGATGGGGACATTGCACCTGTTGACTCTGTTCAGCTAGCACTCAGTAGGTACCTGGGTGCTAGCTAACTGTTGTGGGTCAGATTCTTGGGAGGAGGTAGGGAGAGTGGTAGTAAACCTAAGATAGAACTGGGCTTTGAAATAAGCTAAGGTAGGATAACAGCTCATAGCCTGTAAATTAAATATTAAAAAAAATTAATAAAAAAAACTAATGTATTGTGATGGTTAGGAAGTGAGCTACAGGCTGATTGAAGATAAGTTATGCTGTAAAAATAAAATGTGAATACACTGTAATATATGCAGTTGGGTATTTAAAGAAAAAATAATTTGTTGTGTAATGGTGAGTTGGTGTAGGCATATGACTCAAGATACACTTGAAATATGGTTAGGTATCAAAGGAAGATAAATTCAATACAAAATCTATGGAGATTTTACTTTTTTTTTTTTATCTCACATTTTATTAACTGTAATGAAAACCAGTTTCTAACAGTGATGCAGCAATAAAAACTGAGAACATTATTATGGGAAGATATTAAATATATTCATATTACAAGTAGCTCTGCCAAGGCCATTTATGGTATAAATTTTTTATACCCTGTACCAATATTCAGTATGTTAGGATTAAGTTGTGGGAGATGATTATAAGTATAAATATATACTAGTTAATTACAATAAAAGGTAATATTATTTTATCTCCAGGTTTTTCAACTTATTGATATAACTTCCTATTTGCCCAAGGTACAAATTTCTATTACACAACCCACTTAATATTGGAGAATGTACAAAATATGCCATCATTTTTTTATTAATGCATCGGTCGTCTCCCACCTAGGCAGGGTGGCCCAAAAATGAAAAACTTTCATCATCATTCAGTCCATCACTGCCTTGCCAGAGGTGTGCTTACACTACAGTTATAAAACTACAACATTAATACCCCTCCTTGAGAGGGAAGTACAGTTTCTGCACTCTGAAGGAGGGGTGTTAATGCTGCAGTTTTATAACTGTAGTGTCAGCATGCCTCTGGCAAGACAGTGATGGAGTGAATGATGAAAGTTTTTCTTTTTTTGGGCCAACCTGCCTTGGTGGGAGACGGCCGATGTGTTAATAAAAAAAAATGATAGTATATTTTGTACATTTTCCAATATTAAGTGGGTTGTGTAATAGAAACAGTTATACTTTGGGCAAATAGGAAGAAAGCTTTCCTTGGTAACCAAACATATCCTAGCATAACACAACCTAACTCAATGTAACCTAACTTGCAACATTGTTGGTAGAATTACAGACAAATATGTTAGCTAAAAGGACACATGCAGATAATATGATATTTTCTTGTGGCAGCATTTCACTCTCCAGGAGCTTTGTCAAGCTGTTACACACAATATGAACACAGAAAGTATATATGTATAGGCAACAGAGTGAGATGTAAAGTTATAGCTTACTGCAGTGATTATGCTTTTTAAATATAATTCTAATACCTATATATACCCTCTCGTATCCCTGTAATGTTTGTAGTGGCTTGACAATGCTCCTAGAGAGTGAAACATTGCCACAGTAAAATATTGCATTAGTTGTACATGTGTTCTTGCACCTAATGTAACCTAACTAAACCTAGATCAATGCACAATTCACTGAATACATATTGGGGAATTTGCATAATATTATAACGCCAATAAAAATTTATTTTGTAATTATAAAAGTAGTTTTTCAATAAATTTTTGAATTATTTAGTTGTACTTTACATGTAAAATTAGTGAAATAATAAATATGAGCTTAACATGTGCCTAATTAGAAAAATAATTCATCAGATTTGTTCATATGAAGTAAATTATGCTACAGTATTTAGAGTTTACTGAAGCTACAGTAGTTGTTTTTATGTGATGTTTTAGTACATTTCTTCTTCTTTCAACAAACTGGCTTATCCCACCGAGGCAGGGTGACCCCTTGCAACACGCATGGCTTACTGAGGAAGAATTCGAAAATTATAGTTAACATAAACATCAAAAGGCTTCAGTAAGATTTGCAGGTTAATAGCCAAGAAAATTAAAAAAATTAGCTTCACCTGAATGCAATGAAGGAAATTTTGGTTTCCTGATTTGAAAAAACTCTGGCAAGCCATATTAGTAGATAAATACCATTTTCTCTTTAATTACTTGGCAATGAGTGGTAACAGTTGCTTTGACTTTATATCTGTGTTTTATATTGACAGTTATTCACTATACAGTATTTGATTGAATCTGCAAGGATGGTGGGATGCCTTTGTGCAATTAAGATCTTTTGATCGAAGAAATTGGACCCTCCCTCTTCTTTTTTTCTTAGGATCAGTTTAAATTTTCCCATGCACTGCATGACCCCTATGGGTTTAGCAGTTTCTCATGAGTAGCTTTTGTTTTTAACGTGTCAGCCATTTCCCACCAAGGCAGGGTGACCCAAAAGGAAAGAAAAACCCAAAAAGAAAAAACTTCATCTTTCAACACTTTAACCTTCATACGTAATCACTGTCTTTGCAGAGGCACTCAGATACAACAGTTCAGATGTCACTCCAAATAGCCAATATCCCAAACCCTTCCTTTAAAATGCAAGCATCGTACTTCCCACCTCCAGGACTCAAGTCTGGCTAACTGGTTTCCCTGAATCACTTCACAAAATATTTCCCTGCTCACACTCCAACAGCTCACCATGTCCCAAAAACCATTCATCTCCATTCCTTTCTTAACACATTCATGCACACTTGCTGGAAGTCCAAGCCCCTCACCCACAAAACCCCTTTTACCCCCTCCATCCAACCTTTCCTAGGACGCCCTCTACCCTGCCTTCCTTTCCCTACAGATTTATACTCTCTCCAAGTCATTCTACTTTGTTCCATCCTCTCTAAATGACCAAACCACCTCAACAACCCCTCTTCAGCCCTCTGATTAATACTTTAGTAACTCCACACCTCCTTCTAATTTCCACTCTATGAATTATCTGCATAATATTTACACCACACACTGTGCTTAGACCCAACGTCTCCACTGCCTCCTCACTGCATCATTTACAGGCCAAGCTTCACAACCATATAAGTGTTGGTACCACTATATGCTCATACATTCTCTTCTTTGCTTCCATGGATAAAGTTTTTTGTCTCAACAGATACCTCAAAGTACCACTCGCTTTTTTTCTTCATCAATTCTATGATTAACATCATCCTTCATAAATCCATCTGCTGACAAATCCACTCCCAAATATCTGAACACTTTCACTTCCTCCATACTCCTTTCCAATCTGATATCCAGTCTTTCATTATCTAACTCATTTGTTACCCTCACCACCTTGCTGTTTCCTATGTTCACTTTCAACTTTACACACCCCAGATTCATCTATTAACCTTTGCAAGTTCTCTTCAGAATCTCGTAAAAGTACAGAGTCATCAGCAAAAAACATCTGTGACAACTCTCATTTTGTTTTAGATTCCACATATTTTAATCGCACACCTCTTCCCAACACCCTAGCATTCAATTATTTTACAACCCTATCTATAAATATGTTGAACAACCATGGTGACATTACACATTCCTGTGTAAGGCCTATATTTACTGGAAAATAATCTCCCTCTTTCCTGCAAACCCTAACATGAGCCTCATTATCCTCATAAAAACTCAGTTAAACAGCATCAATAACCAACTACTTACTATTATTATTATTTTCACAAAAAATTTGCCAAACCCAGTGCTGCAAGGCTGAGGGGATGCTATCAGTAAAGGGAAGCAGTCTGAAGGGTGAGCTCATGAGGTAACAAGTAAAGTCTGAGTTTGCACAATAAGTCAGTATCAGCCAAAAAGTCATAAACTGTCTACAGGTACAGTACACTGAAGTAGGGCTTTCAAAATGGGAGTCTAGTTACTGAAGAGACCAGAAATTGATTCTACACATTCTTTAAATGGTTCAGTCAATCAAAGGGTATTTGACCATGATCACAGCCTGACAGGTTTCACAGAGGCACTTCATGTATAACAGCTTTGTGATGGTTTTGTAGATAGTACACATTAGCACAAGAACCATTTTTCAAATGCACCGGTGATGAAAAAGTTGACCAAATACTAGACTGTGATTTGATCAATAAGAACATAAGAAGATTACTGCAGCAGGTTTACTGGCCTGTGCAATGAGGGACCTCAAACCAGCCCTTCTCTCTTGTATATCTGTCCCACTTATTTTTAGTTGCTTGAGCTGCTAGCTTTGATAACTATTCGGCAACCTATTACACTATTAACCCTTGTGGGTTTGGTGCTTAGTTCTGATTATAATAACAATAATAATTAATGCTATTATATCTAGGCCGACTTGTTAAAAAAAAAAATATCTAGGAGGGAAATGCTGAGCCCATAGGGAGTCACAGTGCCTGGGGAATGGAAGACATTCAGGTTTGATCCAAGGAAGAGGAGAGTCCCTTAAGGTAAGATTGTTTTGCTCATTGACAACAATACTGCAGAGCCAATTTTATTTCGTGCCCTTTCCAAATCTAAAATTATCCATGAATTCATTTTTTTTTTATTCTTTGTTAGATATCCTCAGTACCTCATATATATCCTCATTATTTATTCCTGTCTTTCACTTGTATACTTCAATTATATCTTCTCTCATTCCATATCTTTCAAGCGAGTGTGAGTTCAGGACTAAAAAACCCCTCTGTTTGAAAGCTTCCTTGTGCAGTGGATTAATTTTGTCGTTCTTTATATGTTCTTGATGCATTAATATCCATTCTGTAGAATGGAAACCAGATTATTCATTATTATAATAAAAAAGAAGCACTAAACCCACTAGTATCATACAGTACTGACTGCAGAGCAGGGAGTGATCCAGGATCAAAGGATGAGCAAGGGTGGAGAGGACAACAAAGGTAGAGTTAGGAAGGGCTATGAGGAGTGCTAAAGGAAGTATTATCAAAGTTTGTGCAATAAATTGGTTGCTGTCAAAGAGGGAGTCTGTGTTAAAGGTGGGTCCATCAGCAAGGAGGGAAGATAAAGTATGGGCATAAGAGTAGTGACGAAGTCAGAGAAAATTCCGTGTGCTCGTTGACAGGACAGTCCAATAGAATATGGGAAATTGAAATTAGAACCAGACAATTCTCACAAAGTGCAACAGTGCCGCTCCATGAGATACCCATGAGTGAGATGGGTGTGCGAAGACAGGAGAGTGTTGTCTCTCAACCTCGGCATCGCTGTATGACCCTTGTAGGTTTAGCGCTTCTTTCTGATTATAATAATAAACCTCAGCATTGATGACTAGAAGGCCAGAAACCTAAACTTGGTTTGATAGAATGTAATTTGTTATGAAGCATGTCAGACCAACATCGTTGCCAGTGGTTGGGAAGGTGGTTAGAGATTACCTCTATATGAAACTGGGAGGTCATTTACTGCAGACTGCTCATTGCCCTGAACATCAATATGACCAGGGACCCAACAGAAAATGATTTCTTTATTTTTGCTAGTAATGCGGTGTAACCAAAGTTGTATACGAAGAACTAGGGGATGAGGTGAATCAAATATTTTAATAGCTTGCAAAGCACTAAAGGAGTCCGAGACAATTCTAAACTTTGAAGTAGGCATGGATGCAATACGGATAATTACAATGAGAATGGCATACAATTCAGCTGTAAAAATGCTAGCCAAGTCTTAATAAATGACCTCACATCACAGTGTCAGGAAACACTGCTGCAAACCCAACACCATCAAAGGATTTAGAACCATCAGTGCACACTGCAATGGCATGAGAATGAGATTGCAAGTGATTAAGAAAGAGAGAGCGAGAAGCAACTGTAGGGATTTGGGCTTTTGTGCATAGCAGTGCGGAAGAAGAGACACTAACTGTCGGAACTTCCCAAGGGGGAAGTGAAAAGTTAAATGCTAGATGAATGTATAAAGGGGGCAATTGAAGAATAGACGAGTGACTGAACAAAGAGAAAAGGGATGAAGTAAATGGGCGGCGAACAAATGATGGACTTCTGCTAATGATTGGTTACTATTCTGTATGTAGAAGGATTGTGAAGGTCATGAGAGTGGGCAAAATAGCGGAGGCAATGAGCATCACAATGATCGTTCAAGGATGGGACATTTGCTCCTGCACAGAGGCTCTTGACAGTGAGGAGTGAAAAGCACCTAGACATAAACGTAATCTCTGATGATAGATGGGATCAAGTTTAGAAAGACTTGCAGGAGAGGCTGCAGAATATATCTGGTTATCATAATCTAGCTTTGATAAAATTAGGGCTGAATGCAGTCGAAGGAGGGATCAACGATCTGCCCATGAAAGATAAGCAAGGGTTTTAAAAAGGTTCAGCCGGCTATAGCAAGTTGCTTTTAGAGAGGTAATGTGAAGGTTTCCAAGACAACCGGCGATCACACAGTAGGCCGAAAAATCTGACTGTATCACATTCAGGGATTCGTGAGCCATACAGGTACAATGAAATATATACTACATACGTATGTGTCTACTTTGAGAATTGGGAGGTATTGGAGTTCAAGTTATTCAAGAATGTCATCACCACATGTCTGAAAGTTATGTTGAACAATGGTATGAGGTAGAATGACGGTACCGCTACAAGAATCGAGTGATATTTTTTAATTGTTACAGGGATAGCAACTACTGTGGTAAGGAGAGAAAGACTGTGGGCTTGGCTAATATTGTGTACCGAGATGATGCGTGCAATGCTCTTGAGAGCATGAAATGAAATATTTTGACAAACATGGCGTAGGAGTGCCTTGCCGATATTATTATCTGAAAGAAAGTCAGTAGATGTCGGTTGTAGAGTAAAAAACTTAGTCCATAAACCATACCCTGGCCGGGATTGAACCCGCGGTCAGAGAGTCTCAAAACTTCAGCCCGTCGCATTAGCCACTAGACCAGCTAGCCACAATAAGATTCATCCAACTAGGTATATTTCTACACCATAGGAAGGTTAGCACAGGCACCACTGTGACCACAAATGCAAGTTTTTACAGACGAATCTCCAGCTAGCGTGGCCGTGACGAACTCTAGCTCAAGTCCCTTCACTGCCGTCAACATGACTCACGAAATCGTAATTCATTACGATTTCGTGACCACAAATGCAAGGTTTTTACAGCAAATCTCCAGCTAGCGTGGCCGTGACGACTCTAGCTCAAGTCCCTTCACTGCCGTCAACATGACTCACGAAATCGTAATTCATTACGATTTCATGAATCATGTTGATGGCAGTGAAGGGACTTGAGCTAGAGTTCGTCACGGCCACGCTAGCTGGAGATTCGTCTGTAAAAACTTGCATTTGTGGTCACAGTGGTGCCTGTGCTAACCTTCCTATGGTGTAGAAATATACCTAGTTGGATGAATCTTATTGTGGCTAGCTGGTCTAGTGGCTAACGCGACGGGCTGGAGTTTTGAGACTCTCTGACCGCGGGTTCAATCCCGGCCGGGGTATGGTTTGTTTGCAATCGTGTCATTACGATTTCGTGAGTCAACTTAGTCCATTGTGTACTTTGAAACATAGCGTGTAAGGGAAGCGAGTGTCGTGCCGGTCTTTTCTGGGCAGAGTGAGAAGTAATACAAGCGTCATCAGTTAATGGCCTTGGTCGTTTAGGTGTGGGACCGGAGTTGGTCCGACTTGAGATGGGCGTGTGATCCGAGAATCGTTGCACTGCAGAGGGAGAAGCTGGAAGCAGAGTCAAAGAAGTGCAGAGGTCCGATGTATCGAAGGAGTCAGGTGGAACCTCAGCACCTGGAGCTGCTGACAAAACAGCACTATCAGAAGGTACAGGGGCACTAGAAACGTCCGAAGAATGGTCAAATGTCGATAGAGTCAGAACAGGCTGTGGTAGCAGAAAGGGGCCCGGGAGGAGCTGGTTCTTGGATTTGGGCCCCTCAAGGGAGGTTCCTTGAAGCTGGTGAGGGGCTCTTGATCTAGGAAATTGGATCTGTGCTCCAGTTCCCTGAATTGAGTCTGAATGCCTTCCATCCCCCCCATGCACTGTATAATCCTCCGGGTTTAGCGCTCCCCATAATAATAATAATAATAATCATGGATTTAGGACTCCACGTTTATGCCACAGCTTTTTGTTTTTTAGAAAACAAAAGAAAAAAATAACAAAAAAGGGGGGAATAGCTCCTAGAAGGAATGAAAGGGCCGTAAATCCCCCTCCGCGCCCAAGAGAACCCCAGCACCACAAGTAGTGCAGATGCAGCATGGAACCCATGCCATAACCTGCCCTTCATGCCAGTCAACCAGCAATCTGGGATAGCAACCTCACAATTACCATGCCACCTCGGTGGACAAAAGAGAGGGCAACCGGATACCCGCCACAAAGCATACCTCCTTCGGCCACCACTTCCCAGAATCTGACAGGCAGTGTGAAAATTTGTGTGGACTGCCTCCAAGTGAGTCGCCTACCCTGGCAAACTCTGTTGACACCGAGCTCTGAGGTGGGTACCTCAGCCTCACAAGTGGCTTATAGAACAGATTTTCACAAACGATTGATATTGCAAGAAACTTCGCCTGCATGCACGTATAAAGGACTAACTTATTTGGTGTTGCAGCATATATCCTGATCTTCAACTTCCTAAGCCTAGCTTTAGCCCCTTTGGACTTCCCCTTGGAAACCATGTGCAACCGGGAGCATTAAATTCCTGCAATATTCAATCGTTATTAGTGTCCTGCCTGCACCTCAGAAATTCCTATATCCAAGAGGGTATGTATCCCCTAGTATAACTATGCAGACTCAGACACTAGCTTCAGACGGCTCTGAGACGCTGGTACTTACTGGGCATACTCTCTCTGTAGCACGCCGAGCCCTCAGTTAACTCAACCCACAATCTCCTAAGTCACTGGCCAGAACCTACGGGAAAAGGTGAATATCTCCTCTTACTGTATGGGCTGATGGAGGAGATCATCTACGGTACATCGAGGTGCCTCTACCAGATTTCCCCAGGTCTCAGATGTGAAGACACGTGGGGGCGCCGCCTGCTGTTCATGGCACGTCTTGTCCAGTCGGTGTCTATCGTAAGAAGGACGCTATTCTGTCTTTGTGACCTGCGCCCCGCCATTCAAGCTAGGGCTGCCAGTTCTCCCCAGCTAACTTATCCTAATGTTTGCCTACATTATCGGCCTATTACTACCTATGTTAAGGTCTTAGGTCTACTCTATCATTATCTACAGATGCCTTAGTAAACCTAATATTAGTGTACTACCCGTAAAACTACCTACTCCTTCCCTGAAGAGTAAATCTATAAATTAAATAAGCTTACCAACAACCGCCAACCAGAGAATGCCTTGTTTGGGAGGGTTTAAGGGCCGCTCGGCTCAGACAGCCATGCTGGATCTGAGCTGTGGAACTATTTGGACCAAATAAATTTCCACAGGCAGCCTCCAGAAATACACTCGTCACCCGAAAAAACACTCAAAGCCGCCCCTGAGAACCGGAGAGGGAATGACACATCCCCAGTTGATCCAGATTCCACGACAAACTACACCACCACCAAGGACCTCAATGGAATGGGTTGAACCACGGTACCCTTTCCCCCACCTAGGAACTAGAATGCCTGAGGGAAGCACCCCAAAGGTTGAAAACAGGAAAGGGATAGGGGATGGATGGGGAGAGGAAGAAAGTGATGGGAAGGATGGGATAGGGAAGGGGGGATTGGGGGTAATTAGGTTCGGTCTGAAGAAGACCAAAAGATCCAGTTCCTCAGACCAATAGCCTCTACCACAAGGAGCCCCCCTTAAAGAGGAGCAACACTGGAAGCAGGCTGTAGTTCACCATGTAGAGATAAACTGGACTCCAATACAAGGATATGTGAACATACCGTAGCTCATTTGCGAACATTTTATCTTTTATAAATGAAGATTATTATTACTATTATTTTAATCAGAACTAAGCGCTAAATGAAGATGACTGTCATATATTTACCATAGGAAACTTTCCACTTTTCTTTTAATAAATGGGGAAGTTTTAATATAATGTTATGAAGAACACAAGACTTGGAATATTGATACACTTTAAATTTATTTCGTACAAATTCTGATGATTAGAAAATGAGTCGTAAGGAAAGGTGTATGAGATTATGTTATAGTATTTAAAATTTGCGGCATGGACATTTATTTAATCAAACGATTGTATCAAGAGATGCAGTTTGATATGACGAAAACTGTGTTGACACTCAACTTTTGGAAATATATGTATTACTGGTTAGGAAATATTAGTGAACATGTTATTTGTAAACGATGTATGTATATAACAAATTACTAGTGTGTAAACTAACGTAGAAGATACAACCACTATCATTAATTCACAGAAATATTCAAGAATCCAATGAATTACCTAATGTTTATTCAGCATAAACTTTGTATATGCTGCACTCATTCATCCTCGAATAATTTAATTCTAAAAATACCTATCAGCACCTATTCTGTGTTACAAGACAATGTGTTGACAACTGAAATTATGCAAGAACAATGATATATATCAGCACCGATCTGAAACAAAATGTGAGCAAAACTTGAATCCTCATTCAAGGTTCAATGTTTTCAACTGAGAAAAATTATCATGATAAGACTATTAATAAATTTTAATAAAAACATGTTTTCATGATATTCATAAATTATTATTGCAGTGCTGGTGTTATTGATAAAGGTCAAGGTGTATGTCTTTCTTAGAAGCACTTCCTGTGGACAATAGATGGGCCAGATTCATCATATTCTTGTTTGCTGATCCACATCTGTTGGAAGGTAGAGAGCGAAGCAAGAATGGAACCGCCAATCCATACAGAGTATTTACGTTCTGGAGGAGCAATGATCTTGATCTTCATAGTGGATGGTGCAAGTGCAGTAATTTCTTTTTGCATTCTGTCAGCAATTCCAGGATACATGGTGGTGCCGCCAGACATCACAGTGTTGGCGTACAAGTCCTTACGGATATCGACATCGCACTTCATGATGGAATTGTATGTAGTCTCGTGGATTCCAGCATTTTCCATGCCAAGGAAGGAAGGTTGGAAGAGAGCCTCAGGGCAGCGGAACCTCTCGTTTCCAATGGTAATAACCTGACCGTCGGGAAGTTCGTAGGACTTCTCGAGGGATGAAGACTGAGTTGAGGTAGCCATCTCCTCCTCGAAGTCGAGGGCGACATAGCACAGCTTTTCTTTGATATCACGAACAATTTCTCGCTCTGCTGTGGTTGTGAAAGTGTAACCTCGCTCAGTAAGAATGGTCATCAGGTAGTCTGTCAGGTCTCGACCGGCCAAATCCAGACGCAAGATAGCATGAGGAAGGGCATATCCTTCGTAGATGGGAACAGTGTGTGATACACCATCACCAGAGTCCAAAACAATGCCAGTGGTACGACCAGAGGCGTATAGGGAGAGCACAGCCTGGATTGATACATACATTGCAGGGGTGTTGAAGGTTTCGAACATTATTTGGGTCATCTTCTCGCGATTGGCCTTAGGGTTGAGTGGAGCTTCTGTCAGCAGAACTGGGTGTTCTTCAGGAGCCACACGCAGCTCGTTGTAGAATGTGTGATGCCAGATCTTTTCCATGTCGTCCCAGTTAGTAACAACTCCATGCTCAATGGGATATTTGAGAGTCAGAATACCTCGCTTACTCTGTGCTTCGTCACCTACATAAGAGTCCTTTTGACCCATGCCCACCATCACACCCTGAGGGAAAGACAACAAAAACATTTGGTTGAGATACTCTTGCTCAATGTTGGTATTTAATATTGTTGCACACTTCCAGGAGCGCATCTTTATAACACAAATGTGCTGTCTTGGAACATAAATAATTATTATTGTTATCAACACTTTTATTAACAAGAGCTGACCTGGTGTCTTGGTCTACCGACGATAGAGGGAAAGACGGCGCGGGGGGCGTCATCCCCTGCAAAACCAGCCTTACACATACCGGAGCCATTGTCCACAACCAGAGCTGCAACCTCGTCGTCACACATTTTGGTGGTGGTGTGGTGTTAACTATTAGAAATATAATTTAATATAAAAAAATTAGTCAGTTGTAAATTTATTAGATTCACTGATATTTCATTTATTTTAATCTACTGTTTACCATACCAACATTTCTGGAAATCTAAATACAGTAAACTTTTACAGACATTAAATGGGTTTCTATTATATTGTTCAGATAGTATTTAACAACTTGGTTACTTGATTTTACCAAGTAAACCGAATTTGTATTGTTTTTTAGGATATTTTTCATTTGTGACAATTATTTTAACTACAGTTACTGGCCTTATATACGTTAGATAACATTAAACTATTTTAGTAAGGCTTCTTAACTAAGTTGGATATGGTAAAATGTAAAACTACATAATATTTTAAGCCACGAGAGTACATCAATATATTATTATTTGCTTCCACCACACGAGATGGAAATAGTTTTTTAGACCATATGATTTCTAGACCGAATCATCGTCAGAAGTTGGAGAATCCAACAATAAGTAAATATACCATCCTCCTTTATTTTAACCAGTCATATCCAAGACTGAAAAATATTTTTCAAGCTGGGATTTTAAGAATCTCCGTCAGAAATACTCACAGTATACCTGGAGAGAGTTCTGGGGGTCAACGCCCCCGCGGTCCGGTCTGTGACTAGGCCTCATGGTGGATCAGAGCCTGATCAACCAGGCTGTTACAGCTTGCTGCACGCAATCCAACGTACGAGCCACAGCCCGGCTGGTCAGGTACCGACTTAGGTGCTTGTCCAGTGCCTGCTTGAAGACAGCCAGGGGTCTATTGGTAATCCCCCTTATGTATGCTGGGAGGCACTTATTGTGTTGTCTCTTAACGTGCTAGTGACACCCCTGCTTTTCATTGGGGGGATGTTGTATCGTCTGCCGAGTCTTTTGCTTTCGTAGTGAGTGATTTTCGTGTGCAAGTTCGGCACTAGTCCCTCTAGGATTTTCCAGGTGTATATAATCATGTATCTCTCCCTCCTGCGTTCCAGGGAATACAGGTTTAGGAACCTCAAGCGCTCCCAGTAATTGAGGTGTTTTATCTCCGTTATGCGCGCCGTGAAGGTTCTCTGTACATTTTTATTGTTTAAAATAATATATTATAAAAATGAGAGCTTCGATTATTGTGATAGTCTCAACTGTTTGCTCTAGTTGTTTCTTCAGGTTCAAAGTAACAGCTGAACATATCACCGTACATTTATATTAACAGGCTACAAACCGTATTTCCCTACCCAAGATTGTACTGGGAATCATGTAAAAAAAGCGATCTGAGGTAACTGTGATTGTTGAAAAAAACCTGACTGAAGAAAACTATGACTCCTGTTACAAGCAAAGGCCTACTTGCAAATTTTCATTCAGGTTCTTTTAATTATTATAATCATGGGGGAGCGTACGAAAGGTATTTAGACTCAATTCAGGGAACCGGAGCACAGATCCAATTCCCTAGATCAAGAGCCCTTCACCAGCATCAAGGAACCTCCATTGGTCTCGTGCATTTTTGGTTTGACAGATATACACATATTTAGATTATTTTGCATCCCCAGTGGTGTGTTTGTAGCGTCTCTTGGGATAACTTTCAAAGGGAGACCAAATTTATGACTAATTTTGTCACTCAGTAACGTCTATTTCACTGCTACACTATTTTCCTTAGCCGCAAGAATTCCAGGAAAGGAATAGATTACAAACTTGGGCTGTCAGTCAGCATTTTGAGAACAGTAATGAGAAAAGAACTTCACTGACTGAAGGAGACCGACACTATTCAGTCTGCCTTCTATAATTCTATCATGTAGGAAGGGCCACATGTCTATAGTGCATCGAATAAAATCAGCAGACTCTTACACTGATAACCCTTGTGGAAAATACTGTATATATTTTCCGGAAATACGGTAATTTAGAGGTAAATAGATGCCCTATATTGTATTTTTAAAAGAAGTGTTATCGAAAAAAAGTAGACACTCGCCATCTTGGTTTTTGAATTGGATAACCCTCACATATGAGAAACTTATGAGGCACTAGTACAACATTTGGGTACCTTTACTCTGGACAAGTTTCGCCACACAGTGGCATAATATTACGCCCCTACTGTAGCTTCCTCCGCCTTTTTCTGCACTGGGCTGGAGAAGCCACTGTGTGGCGAAACGTTAAGCCAGTGTGGCGACACGTTTCCAGAGTAAAGATATCAAAATGTTGCTCAAGTGTCATTTATCAACTTGTCGGTTTTGTAAACCATTCATTCACAAAGAAACTTATGACGACGTTTCGGTCCGACCTGGACCATTAACTAGTCACACACGACTAGTTAATGGTCCAAGTCAGACCGAAACGTCGTCACAAGTTTCTTTCTCCTATACGCGGGTTATTTGTGTATTGTTCCAGTCACAGTATTGTGCCTTTTTTACCTCAGCAGACTCTGAGAGTTACTACTACTAATAATAATTATTATTGTTACATTCATGGGTCAGCTGGGGGAATGGGAGGTATCAGGTTCGATCCAAGGGTAAGTCAGGTCCAATTCCTCAGATCAAAAAGCCCCTCACAGGCGTCAATCCCTTGAGGGATTCATATTCTAATTATCCATTAAGCAAATTATGTTCGAAAGACACAACAATATTTAGGAGTAAAAAATAAAAAAAAAAGTTGTCGAAGTATATAGCCTATTGTGTATCATCCTAAGAAAAGTATTCAAATGAACTCTTCCTAGCAAATATTAACCCCCAAAAAAGTCAAGTCACTGACTTGACTTTTTTTTGGGTTATCCTAAGTAATTTACACATATATTACTAGGTTTGATAATTGTATTTATGTGTACCTGTTCCTAAATAAACTTACTTATTAACGATAATGCAAGTAACGACAATATATATGCAAGTTTTGCTTGTGTTGTATACAATTAATAATTCGCTATCGAAATCTTACGAACGAGTCAGATCTTCGAATCTTACCAGAGTGAGAGACGGAAGTTGCAGGAGCTGACTCGTTGGTGTCGTGTGTGTGACTGACCACCCGGGCGGCCGGCTGGTTCTCTTACCTGTTGTTATCTGTGACGTATATACACGCCACGCCGGCACATTGTGTTATATCAGTAGGCTGATGACTTATGAAGAACAGCACTTCGAGATAAACAACCCCAATGGACCATCATCCTCTAGCTGAGGTATTCTGTCTGTGTTGCAGAGAACCTTGGAGGCGCCACAACATAATGGCGCTCCATGGTACACGACTTAAATGACTGGAAACATTATTATTATTAGTAGTAGTATTAGGAATAGTAGTAGGAGAGGTAGTATTACTATTGTTTGACTGTTTCATGCTATGGAACAGAACTCTTCTCCAGGCTTAGGGACTGACAACCTCAAATCTACGACTTCAAGGATGATGGACTGATTACATCGTCTTCACATCTCTACTGTTCCTGCCTACTTTTTGTACTCGACTGAAGAAGCCTACTGTGTAGGCGAAACGTTTCGGAATAAAGTTTCCTGTTTAGCTAGAGAGAGTTCAGGGGGTCAACGCCACCGCGGCCCGGTCTGTGACCAGGCCTAATGGTGGATCAGGGCCTGATCAACCAGGCTGTTACTGCTGGCTGCACGCAATGCAACGGCTGGTCACGTACTGACTTTAGGTGCTTGTCCAGTGCCTGCTTGAAGACAGCCAGGGGTCTATTGGTAATCCCCCTTATATATGCTGGGAGGCAGTTGAACAGTCTTGGGCCTCTCACACTTATTGTATTGTCTCTTAACGTGCTAGTGGCACCCCTGCTTTTCATTGGTGAGATGTTGCATCGTCTGCCGAGTCTTTTATTTCGTAAGGAGTGATTTTCGGGTGCAAGTTCGGTACTAGTCCCTCTAGGATTTTCCAGGTGTATATAATCATGTATCTCTCCCGCCTGCGTTCCAGGGAGTACATTAGTGTTTTTTTCCACATCTTGTCGGTATCACCATACCATTCTTTTCAATAATACATCAGTTTTTGTAGCATGTCCGATAATAACATATCCATATTAAGCCCTAAACCCGAGAAGGTCACACATTAACAATTTAACAGCATATCTGAGTCAGTGATTAACATTGAATCTTGTCTTGCGCGTTAAGTAATGTTAGGTTGAATTATGTGGGTTTTGTTACGTTTAATAACGTGTATCACAACAGCAAAATATTATCTACTGTAATACCAGTTTAATATTTTAAAATTCAAACTAATTAGTGGCGGAGAAGAGGTCGTAAACTATTACCAAAAATAATATAGCTAATAAGTAGTTAGACATGAATCTGAGCAACTTTTATGGATTTTTTCATATATTCTTTAGCATCAACAGTATTTAGTTTATAAAATTATACAATATGGCGGCTGTTTTTGCTTTAAGATGGTACCAAACGCCGGCATTATATGTCATGGAACTTTTAGTATATTGTTCTGGATATTTAATTATATTTCTACCAGTTTTAACTTTTATCTAATTATTGCCAGCTTAACCTTAATTTTGATCAAGTTCCTAGGGAATATCCTCGTCACAAGATTGAAATGGTCATTTTTGTTTGACAACCCGTATCGGGTGAGTTTTCCCGACAAATTAACCAAACACATACTTAATGGTGTGTATACATAAAGAGTTTACTTCAGTTTGTTTTGTGGCTGGAGTTGTTCTTGGTGTTGATGTGCAGGTGAACTTTCATGCAGTAGTATATGAGTCAGGTTAGGTCAGGTTTGTCAGGAAACAGGTTAATTTGCCTGACATGCGTAGCATAACAAGGGGCTTTCTATATAGTAGTATGTCATTGTTGTCAGCTAGGCCTGTATACCATGTACATGTACTTGTAGTAAATAAAGATATTATTATTATTGTATTCCTTGCTGTACTGTTAAAACAATTGTATGAAATAATTGTAAAATACGATATGATTAATATTCCTAGTGATGTAACAATGTTCACTAGTATCTGATAAAGATCAGTTTGTGACCTCTATAATCCTATTTTTTTTTTTTTTTTGTTTGCGCTATCGCTCCAGGTAAACTCCAGGATGAGCATGAGGTACACAAACTAGCCGTTCAGGCGACACAACTACTGGCTCTACCCGTATGGCACAAAATACACCGAGATATGTATGTTCTTTGTGTATATACACCGAATGATTAAAGTATTTTTGACTGATGGTGAACAGGTTACCTGTGGCCTTAGTTACTCGTGTAGTCGAGAGGTTTTAAACCCCATTAATCACCCAACTAGCTGGCAGAACATCTCTTCTGGTTACACCTGGTGGACGGTAAATGCTGTTCTTGGTCCCCAATGCTTGACCACACGATGGAGTACTTTCTACTTTATTGTCCTAAGTTTTATTTGGTCGTGCCAAACTTCGCCAGAATCTAGCTCAAAGAAGGATTCAAACGTTACTTGCAGGTTGGATAGTATCTAAGTGCTAAATAACCGTCTAGACACCAGACTTCAACAGTAGGGTTCATGTGTCACAAGCTGACGTAACCCTTAAAATCAAGAGCAGCAGCAACAACAAGCATGAGGCTGACAGCCGCTAAAATTTGCGCATTTCTATTTACTTTTTTTTTATCACTACCCCTAATTAACCGCTAACCTGGAAGACTTTATTATCAAGAGATACATCCAGACATTTTCTTTGACTCTGACAATTCACACTGAGGAACGGAGAACGTAGGACTCATCCAGATATCCACCATGGGAGGTTCCTTGATGCTGGTGAGGGGCTCTCGATTTAGGGAATTGGACCTGTGCTCCAGTTCCCTGAATTAAGCCTGAATACCTTCCATCCCCCCCTCACATGCGCTGTATAATCCTACGGGTTTAGCGCTCCCCCTTGATTATAATACTAATAATCTCATGCAAGTCGAGTTTAGCTCTTAAACTGATTATATTGTGTGACAAATGATTATTTAGCTCAAGTATTTCTCTTTCGATAACCTTGAGTAGTCAGAATAAAACATAGTGTCTACACCCCAACGTCGTTAGTTAGAAATATTAACTAGTTTGTGGCCCGGTGGTCTGGTGGCTAAAGCTCCCGCTTCACACACGGAGGGCCCGGGTTCGATTCCCGGCGGGTGGAAATTCCGACACGTTTCCTTACACCTATTGTCCTGTTCACCTAGCAGCAAATAGGTACCTGGGTGTTAGTCGACTGGTGTGGGTCGCATCCTGGGGGACAAGATTAAGGACCCCAATGGAAATAAGTTAGACAGTCCTCGATGACGCACTGACTTTCTTGGGTTATCCTGGGTGGCTAACCCTCCGGGGTTAAAAATCCGAACAAAATCTTATCTTATCTTATCTTATCTTCTTTGGAATTAAAATTCAGATATGTCAGCGTAAAAAATATTTCTAGTAATAATTTAAAAATTCATATTTTAGTCAGGAAATATTAGTTTCATTTTTTTTTTTTGGATTCCTTCACTGAGAATAAATACTAAATAATATTTATCAAAATTTTGGAGCTCAGTCCCTGGACACATTATGTACCTCTGTTGATATGTTTGAACCAATTAAATTGATAATCTTACTGTGCTTAGGTGCCAGGTTATATTGAATATATCGGGATAATGGTTTTTATGCGATAACTTTAGATTATTTCTTTTTGCTTGGCTTCAAATTTTCAATTCTGAGCCTGGAGCTGTAGCTCAACACAATAAAGAGACACAGTAGCTGGAACTCAGTCCCTCCAAACATGTTTAAACTTTGAGAATTAAAATACTTAGTCATATAAACTCAGTGGCCACTTTATTAGGTACACCTGTACATCTCGTTCATGCAAATATCTAATCAGCCAATCACGTGGCAGCACCTCAGTGCCTAAAAGCACTGGAAGATATGTGATCTAAGGGACTTTTACTGTAGAATGATGTTGGTGTTAGACAAAGTGGTGTGTTTCTCAGAAACTGCTGATCATTTGGGATTTTCACATAAAAGAATCTCCAAGGTTTACAGGGAATGGTGTGAAAAACACGAAACGTCAAGTGAGGGACAGTTCTGTGGGTGCAAACACCTTGATAATGAGAGGTCAACGGAGACTGGCCAGACTGGTTCAAGCTGACAGGAAGATGCAAGTAACTCAAATAACCACGTGTTACAACAGTGACATGCAGAAGAAAATGTCTGAATGCACAACAAGTCGAACTCTGACGTGCTTAGATGCAGCAACAGAAGACCACGTAAACTTCCATTCCTGTTAGCTAAGAACAGGAAATTGAGGCAACAGTCGGCCCAGGCTCACCAAAACTGGACAGTTGAAAATTGGAAAAACGTCACCTGGTCTGACGAATCGTGATTTCCGTTGCAAAATGCTGGTGGTAGGGTAAGAATCTGGCGTAAAACTTTGGGATGTGGTGGAACGGGAGATTCGTAGCATGAATATGCAGCCAACAAATCTGCACCAATTTCGTGATGTTATCATGTCAACATGGACTAGGACCTGTAACGAATGTTTTTCAGCACCTTGTGGAAGCCATGCCACTAAGAATTTAGGTTGCTCTGGGGACAAAGAGAGGCTAAATGTATTTTGCAAGAACAATAATTTAAATATGCAAATACACCGCAGGGGCATGGTGTTAAAAACAAGAGCTTGAGGATTACATAGGAATTCAATGAATGAGGTGGAATTGGGTATCACAAACAGTGGTCCCAGAGCGAGGAAGAATATTGGCAACCAAGGCTACGCTGAGCATACATGGGTCTCCAGCAAAGGTTTATGTTATGTATGTTATGTTATGTTGGCATGTGTGTTGTACCCCTAGCCTAAATTTCACTAATGAATTACAAAATATTTTTTATAGTTTTATTTGGATGTCCTTTGTTATGAGAATCTGCCGTAGCTAGATTGACAATTTGTTGTGTTGAAATCAATTGTTTTATAGTTTATAGCACCGTACTGAAGGCCTGACTCAAATTTTTATGTATTATAAACACAAGAATCATAGCTAACCCGAACTATACCCTTTATTTATTTACATAAACGGGGTGGATTCAATAATATTGGTCCCAATTGATGTTCTTGTTGAAGTTGAATCACTTGTTGAATCACTTGTTTGTCCCAGACCACTGGCACTCTGAATGCAGGTCTGTAACTGGATTATGTCTTGACCTGAGACTGGTCTTCGACACCGAATTCAATAATATTCCTTGAAATACACGATCTATCTCGTTTTAGCATTAACTCAATCAATCGACTGACCAGACAACCCCAAATGTGTGACAAGACCATTAGACTCTTGTCCATTCCAGACTGAATACCGATGGATAGGTTCGTCAGGAAACAGGACAAGTTTCCTGACGCGGGTCGTAGTCAGATGATGACCCACCTTTGGAGCTTTGGTCATCTGACTGAGGCCTTCCGCTGGCTTACCGGTCCACCCCCTTTAAAAATTATGGCCATGTATATTTATTGAATACCGATGTTTGGCTAATAGTTTCCAATGGTCTGCCTGTATGCCCAAGATTACAATTGTCACATCCAGACAGGAAATGTGGTATACACCTCCATCTGCTTGTACTGGAGAGTTCTTAATTAATATGTTTTGACTAGTTTCATTCTTAAATACATCTCTCACACTGAACATGGATGTTACTCTCATTGTCTTCATTTTGATGGACATCCTCTCTCCAGCCTCAGTGAAAAAGGTTTACTAAATAATTTTCCAGATATCTACATCAGTTTCAAAAGTATGTGTTTTACAGGAAACATTAAACATACTCTCATTAAACGCAAATACATACAGCTAATATAGGTTGACTAGGTTATAAAGCTTACGAACTAATCGAGAAACTAGGTTGCATGTCACCTGACCGCCACCTACCAAGAATCCTTAGTCCTTACAGAAATAAATTATCTAAGTATACACACTGAGGGATATACAACTGACTGTGCATCGTACACTGAGAGATACACATCTCTCAATTCATGTAATCGTCAATAGCTTGTGTAAAGTTACTCTCAGGGTTTCTGATCAGCGATCCTGGTACTTTTTTTCTCTCTCTTGTCCAGCATTCATTTAGTCAGGCGTATTAAATGATGGTCTTTTATATTGTTATAGCATACTCCTACATGTGTTTCTTAATAATTCATTTTTTTTTTAGCTTCGTTTTCTCTGAAAGCAACTCAAACTAATCATAAAATAAACTAATATAATTTGCAGTATAAAATACTATTTATTCGGGCTCGTCCTTAAACCTACAAGTAAAATTATATTATAAATATTTGTATTGTTACTAGGCTACAGTTGTTCATTATAGTGCACTTAGAAGCACTTCCTGTGAACAATGGATGGGCCAGATTCGTCATATTCTTGTTTGCTGATCCACATCTGTTGGAAGGTGGAGAGGGAAGCAAGAATGGAACCGCCAATCCATACAGAGTATTTACGTTCTGGTGGAGCAATGATCTTGATCTTCATAGTGGATGGTGCCAGGGCAGTAATTTCTTTCTGCATTCTGTCAGCAATGCCAGGATACATGGTGGTGCCACCAGACAATACGGCGTTGGCGTACAAGTCCTTACGGATATCGACATCGCACTTCATAATCGAATTGTATGTAGTCTCGTGGATACCAGCATTTTCCATGCCAAGGAAGGAAGGTTGGAAGAGAGCCTCAGGGCAGCGGAACCTCTCATTACCAATGGTAATAACCTGACCGTCGGGAAGTTCGTAGGACTTCTCGAGGGATGAAGACTGAGTTGCCGTAGCCATTTCTTCCTCGAAATCGAGAGCTACGTAGCAAAGTTTTTCTTTGATGTCACGCACAATTTCTCGCTCTGCTGTGGTTGTGAAAGTGTAGCCTCGCTCAGTAAGGATGGTCATCAAGTAATCCGTCAGGTCTCGACCGGCCAAGTCCATTCGCAAGATAGCATGAGGAAGGGCATATCCTTCGTAGATGGGAACAGTGTGTGATACACCATCACCAGAGTCTAAAACAATGCCAGTGGTACGACCAGAGGCGTATAGGGAGAGCACAGCCTGGATTGATACATACATTGCAGGAGCGTTAAAGGTTTCGAACATTATTTGAGTCATCTTTTCGCGATTGACCTTTGGGTTGAGAGGAGCTTCTGTCAGCAGAACTGGGTGTTCTTCAGGAGCCACACGCAGCTCGTTGTAGAATGTGTGATGCCAAATCTTTTCCATGTCATCCCAGTTAGTAACAATACCGTGCTCAATGGGATATTTGAGTGTAAGGATACCTCGCTTGCTTTGTGCCTCATCACCGACGTAGGAGTCCTTTTGACCCATGCCAACCATCACACCCTGGGGAAAAACATTCCAATATAGGGAACGGAATAGCATAAAATTAGGTCATCATTTTGGTCTCGTGTTTAATGACTGTGGATTAATTATTATAGCAACTGTAATATATTTTTTAATGAGCATCAGGTCTCATACTTACCTGGTGGCGTGGTCGGCCAACAATGGAGGGGAAGACGGCGCGGGGGGCGTCGTCCCCTGCAAAACCGGCTTTGCACATACCGGACCCATTGTCCACAACCAGAGCTGCAACCTCGTCATCACACATTTTAGTAAGAGCTGAAATAACATATTTTCAACATGATACCACGATACATGTATAAACATTCTTAAATGTTTAACAAAACTTTCGGTGCCTTAGCTGGGATCGTTTATATTAGGAAGAAACTCTTCCTCAACGCGTTAATGTGGGTCTGCCTTACTCTTATCTTGAGGAAACATTTCTTCTCTGCAACTTTCACTTGCTTATGGAAATTTCCGAGAAACTTGTTTTTGAAAAAAAAATGTTTTATAAGATAAAACCTTATCTTTAGTTTTTAGTATTATATATGGAGGGATGGATATGCACTGTTTTTCGGGCATTATTCACGGCGGTGCGAGACACTAACACTTTGTCACTGGCAAGTTATATTACCGGCTTGTTTGATTTGAACGTCTGGGATTGACTGCCCTGGCTAGTTATCCCTAAATTATCCTTGATGTTAGTGCAGAAAATGTGCTCATTAGTTCATAGTAAATAATGTGATCCCGTGACTTTAATAAGGTGACAAACTTAATTCCAGTAAGTAAGCGTATGTTGCATCACGTGTATATTACACCGTGTGCCAGAGACTGCTTAAATCCTGATACCCATCACAAACACGTCATTGCTTGTTTAAATCATCATTCATTAATTAGTTATCATTTGAGTGTGATCTTTTTTCCTGACTAAGATAATTTTACCCCTGGGTGAAGCATTTTGCATTACCTGCCCCTAGGTGAGGCACTCAGCCTTGCTCCTGGGTGAAGCACTCGGTCTTATCCCTGGGTGAGACACTCAGCCTTACCCCTGGACAACACTCTTACAATAAACAAAGGCGCCGAAAACCTCTAACAAAACTTAAAATGAAAAATGGCAAATGTCTTACTTGTAATGAATCCAAGTGAGGGAGAACTGGTGACAATACTTTGATGATGTCTCGCTGGTGACTGCCAGTCGATCTCGCGTCGGTCCTTTTATATGTTATCTCTGACACTCTCTCGTGTCGAGATTTATTACCATATTTGGTCACTCCTCTTATCTGCCCAGGAAGCAGATTATGACTGACTAATGAAAAATATTGATCTTCGTTAACCAGCTGACGTAAATGCGATTTGTTTTATGCAATGCTTTAGTAATTATATACGTTATATATGCAACCAAAGAGTGTAATACATATTTGTAACTTTTTCATGAATTGCGAGGCATTGAACAGGTATCAAACAGAGCCTAATGGAGGATTTTTTATTTATTTTCCTCTTGGGGCCCCTCCCACCACCTCACCAATCCTCGTTATCCCATATTTCCATCCTTATCCATCCTTCTTCCTTCCCTGTCTTACCAAAACTCTGGTCATAACTGGACTCGGTTGAGAATTGATAATTAGACCCATATTCAACATCTGGGTATCTTTATTTGTAGATGTTTCACCATCCAGTGGTTTATCGATACAAATTCATTCAAGTTATCAATTTTATCAAACCTTACTTAACAACCTGACCTCATCTTGCTGTCATTAACGTAATATAATAATTAAGTCTAATGCTACCCAACCTAAATTTAGTTAGATTTACTTGAATCAGTAAAATACAATAATTTTGGAAATAGTGAATTTCAGAGAGTTATTGTAATATTTTCAGAGGAGGTGCGCAGGTCCACTGCTAGCGCACTCAACTCACAGAGACCCATGGTTCGATCCCCAGTACGGGCGGAAACATTAGGACATTTTTCTTGTTGTCAGTGTTCACCTAGCAGTAAATAGGTACCTGGGTGTTAGTCGACTGGTGTGGGTCGCATCCTGGGGATAAAACTGACCTAATTTGCCCGAAATGCTCTGCATAACCAGGGACTTTCTATATAGTGTGTCACTGTTACCTATTTCTGTACATATTGTACATGTACTTGTAGAAATAAAGATTATTTTTATATTATTAATGCCGGTGAGGAGCTCTTAATCCAAGGAACTAAATTTATCCTCCAGATCCTCGGATTGAACTTGATTGCCTCACATTCCCCCGGCGCTGCATAATCACTTTCCGGGTTTGTGACAGTACACTCATCTTGTTGAGAAGAGCTATTGTTATTTCTTAGCCAAGATCGCAAATGCTGTCTTTTTCCTGCGAAGGAAAACATTAGCTGAAAAACAAGAGACGATTAGAATGTAGAATCTGAATGCTATAACGTTCTGAGTGTGGTGTTGGATGATCTATTAGAACCTACCCTGGTTCTTATACAGTCTGTTCTCTCTTACAAGTTCTTCTGTATACTGCAGTGTTTCGTAAATGAGACTGAAAAAATATATCCGAAATTGAATAGCTGGTGGAAAGTCCTTCAGTGTGCGTGCCGTTCAGTTTTATTCAGTTATATTTACCTAACATTGTATTATGTAGTGGGATATGAGTGATGGAGAATTAGCTTGACAACTTTAGTAAGACCCCATAACCCATCCCGTGGGTGGTAGTCACGACACACCCATCCCGTGGGTGGTAGTCACGACACACCCACCCCGTGGGGGGAAGTCACAACACACCCATTCCCGTGGGTGGTAGTCACGACACACCCATCCCGTGGGTGGTAGTCACGACACACCCATCCCGTGGGTGGTAGTCACGATACACCCATCCCGTGGGGTGGTAGTCACGACAACACCCATCCCGGGGTGGTAGTCACGACACACCCATCCCGTGGGTGGTAGTCACGACACACCCATCTCGTGGGTGGTAGTCACGACACACCCATCCCGTGGGTGGTAGTCACGACACACCCATCCCGTGGGTGGTAGTCACGACACACCCACCCGTGGGGGGAAGTCACAACACACCCATTCCCGTGGGTGGTAGTCACGACACACCCATCCCGTGGGTGGTAGTCACGACACACCCATCCCGTGGGTGGTAGTCACGACACACCCATCCCGTGGGTGGTAGTCACGACACACCCATCCCGTGGGTGGTAGTCACGACACACCCATCCCGTGGGTGGTAGTCACGACACACCCATCCCGTGGGTGGTAGTCACGACACACCCATCCCGTGGGTGGTAGTCACGACACACTCATCCCATGGGTGGTAGTCACGACACACCCATCCCGTGGGTGGTAGTCACCCCATACCTTTACAGTGGGTGGTAGTCACGACACACCCATCCCGTGGGTGGTAGTCACCCCATACCTTTACAGTGGGTGGTAGTCACGACACACCCATCCCGTGGGTGGTAGTCACCCCATACCTTTACAGTGGGTGGTAGTCACGACACACCCATCCCGTGAGTGGTAGTCACCCCATACCTTTACAGTGGGTGGTAGTCACGACACACCCATCCCATGAGTGGTAGTCACCCCATACCTTTACAGTGGGTGGTAGTCACGACACACCCATCCCGTGGGTGGTAGTCACCCCATACCTTTACAGTGGGTGGTAGTCACGACACACCCATCCCGTGGTGGTAGTCACCCCATACCTTTACAGTGGGTGGTAGTCACGACACACCCATCCCGTGAGTGGTAGTCACCCCATACCTTTACAGTGGGTGGTAGTCACGACACACCCATCCCGTGAGTGGTAGTCACCCCATACCTTTACAGTGGGTGGTAGTCACGACACACCCATCCCGTGAGTGGTAGTCACCCCATACCTTTACAGTGGGTGGTAGTCACGACACACCCATACCGTGGGTGGTAGTCACCCCATACCTTTACGTGGGTGGTAGTCACGACACACCCATCCCGTGAGTGGTAGTCACCCCATACCTTTACAGTGGGTGGTAGTCACGACACACCCATAACGTGGGTGGTAGTCACGACACACCCATCCCGTGGGTGGTAGTCACGACACACCCATCCCGTGGGTGGTAGTCACGACACACCCATCCCGTGGGTGGTAGTCACGACACACCCATCCCGTGGTGGTAGTCACGACACACCCATCCCGTGGGTGGTAGTCACGACACACCCATCCCGTGGGTTAGTCACGACACACCCATCCCGTGGGTAGTAGTCACGACACACCCATCCCATGGGTAGTAGTCACGACACACCCATCCCGTGGGTAGTAGTCACGACACACCCATCCCGTGGGTAGTAGTCACGACACACCCATCCCGTGGGTGGTAGTCACGACACACCCATCCCGTGGGTGGTAGTCACGACACCCACCCCGTGGGTGGTAGTCACGACACACTCATCCCATGGTTGGTAGTCACGACACACCCATCCCGTGGGTGTAGTCACGACACACTCATCCCATGGGTGGTAGTCACGACACACCATCCCATGGGTGGTAGTCACGACACACCACCCATGGGTGGTAGTCACGAGACACCATCCCTGGGTGGTAGTCACGAGACACACCCATCCCGTGGGTGGTAGTCACGACACACCCACCCCGTGAGTGGTAGTCACGACACACCCATCCCGTGAGTGGTCATGATAGACGCACATAATGGGGCTGGTGTGCGTTTCAACATTCTGCAACATAAGAATGTTACAGCAGTAACGAAATGTTTACAATAATACCAGAGTTAGTTATAACAATGATGAGTCGTGGAAAAAAGAGTTATGTTCATAAGTGTCTTTTCCCACATCCTGGCGGTATCACCAGACCATTTTTTCAGTAATGAGTTGGTTACGCCGTTGATGATTGCAGTTACGTGGACATTTACAATGAATCACAGTGTTAAGGAGATATGCTGATCCAAGGGATTGAACACAGGTGCTCCACTGATGAAGCAAGTCACAGTAGTCATGACTCATGTGCTGAACCAGATTTAAGGATTTGTCCGCCCATAGAGTGGGTATATTGTGACTACCACCCACTGTAAAGGTATGGGGTGACTACCACCCACTGTAAAGGTATGGGGTGTCTACCACCCACGGGATGGGAATGGGGTCTTACTGAAGCTATCAAACTAATTCTCAGCCACTCTTATCCCATTGCTGTATTTATCCCAGGTAGGGGGATGCTGTATTTATCCCCAGGTAGGGTGATGCTGTATTTACCCTAGATAAGGGGATGCTGACTGTATTCCAGGTAGTATAGATGAGATTGCGCATTGGTAACAATTTCAGAAACAAGACACTCTCAAGATAAGCAATATATTTGAACATCGTTTCGCTCTGTGTAGAGCTTTACCAGTTTCCGAATTGATAAAGCTCTACACAAAATGAAATGTTCCAGTAACAAGTATAATATCCCCTAACGCGACGGTCTGGAGTTTTGAGACTCTCTGACCGCGGGTTCTATCCCCACCTGGAGTTTACCTGGAGAGAGTTCCGGGGGTCAACGCCCCCGCGGCCCGGTCTGAGACCAGGCCTCCTGGTGGATCAGAGCCTGATCAACCAGGCTGTTGCTGCTGGCTGCACGCAAACCAACATACGAGCCACAGCCCGGCTGATCCGGAACTGACTTTAGGTGCTTGTCCAGTGCCAGCTTGAAGACTGCCAGAGGTCTGTTGGTAATCCCCCTTATGTGTGCTGGGAGGCAGTTGAACAGTCTCGGGCCCCTGACACTTATTGTATGGTCTCTTAACGTGCTAGTGACACCCCTGCTTTTCATTGGGGGGATGGTGCATCGTCTGCCAAGTCTTTTGCTTTCGTAGTGGGTGATTTTCGTGTGCAAGTTCGGTACTAGTCCCTCTAGGATTTTCCAGGTGTATATAATCATGTATCTCTCCCTCCTGCGTTCCAGGGAATACAGGTTTAGGAACCTCAAGCGCTCCCAATAATTGAGGTGTTTTATCTCCGTTATGCGCGCCGTGAAAGTTCTCTGTACATTTTCTAGGTCGGCAATTTCACCTGCCTTGAAAGGTGCTGTTAGTGTGCAGCAATATTCCAGCCTAGATAGAACAAGTGACCTGAAGAGTGTCATCATGGGCTTGGCCTCCCTAGTTTTGAAGGTTCTCATTATCCATCCTGTCATTTTTCTAGCAGATGCGATTGATACAATGTTATGGTCCTTGAAGGTGAGATCCTCCGACATGATCACTCCCAGGTCTTTGACGTTGGTGTTTCGCTCTATTTTGTGGCCAGAATTTGTTTTGTACTCTGATG